GGGGGGGGGGGTAGTTGGGGGAGGGTAAGCATTCCGAAGGAAAAAAGATATTGTTATTGGACGGCAGACGTAAAATAATTTAGGTAGGCCCTAATGGCCCCCACAGCCTACCCCAACCCAGGTAAACTGGTACAAAATAAACAGACACGCCCATGTTTCGTGGATGTGCATAATGCGAATATGATTAATGGCTTACAGGTTGGACTCGAGTGGTTCCACTGAAAACCTGCTATTCATGAGACACACAAGCGACTGTTCTAGAGCCCTCTCTACAGTTTCAAACCATTTAAAACGGCATGGAAGTATTTAAGTTACGGCATAAGTTACATGCCAGTGGATATATACATGTACCTTTGTGAATGTGAATATCCTTGCATAAAATGCTCAACTCTGAAAATGATTCCTACAAATCGTACCATCCGTGGGTACCGAACACAAGCCGTCGGTTCAAAATGCTCACCTTTCATGGACTATCTAAACTTCCATAACATTTGGGCAGTTACCGGTATATGTGATTTGAAAATCTCAGGGTTATCAACTATTCATGGTCCTTGTGGTGTTTTTCAGGCTCATGCATAATTAATAATAATAATAATAAGTTTATTGAGCACTAAATGATATGAATACATTTGCAGGCTCACTAGACTACATTATTTACACAATATAAGGATATACATTTATATATGTTTACATATGCAGTATGCTAAATTACACGTGTTAATGCTTGTTAGCGATTCACAGCATTATCGACAATTAGTGACGGTGATGCACTAAATTGCAACTATGTATTTTAACAGCAGTCTTTACAAATTCTATTATTTCTTTGAGACTTTTTTCACAGGGTGGATTAAGGAGAATTGACAATACCTGACCACTGTCCTCTAGACCCACTACATTGATTTTCAAGAGTTCATCATGCATTCGTTGCCTTTCAACAGTGTATCTTGCACATTCCGGGAGGAAGTGTTTTCATCCTCTACGCAGTTGCAAGCTTTACATTTTCTCTCATCAAGTGGAGTTTTAGGGTTTGTGTATCGGTCCCTTTCTATTGCCAGGTCGTGATCACTGCCAGTGGAGGAGACACTCATTTTGATGTATTTTTCACATTCATAAGATATTTTAATTCTTTTGTATGTCCTTAATTGTTTGAGGTCCAGTTATTTAATTCCTGCCAAAACAGTTTTTCAATTTTTATGTTCAATTTTTCTACTAGGTTTTCTATTCCATGTATTTTCATTGGGTGGTTGGACCACCTTTGCACACGATTAACAATTGCCCTGATATAGCGGTACTATTACGCGCTTACACCAGTATATGCAGATAGAAAACTCGGCATGCGACACGTACAGTTTGCAGTCATGCCACGTTGTGATAGGGGTTACAGGTAGAAAGTTACAGGCTATGACATGAAAATGCCCAAAAAGGTACCCTAAAATGTTACATCTGACCAGCATGGATAGTATTGGGGAGGTTATGGTTCCAGAGTATTTATTAAAAAATTAATAAATAAATAAAGGGGTCACTTTTAACGACAGTGATTTAATGTGAGATGCAGGCCTTATTCGCCCATTCGCTATGTTTTTTAAAATACAGCATTTTAATGTAGCAATAGCTCAGGTGGCTGGCCTGTCAGGACTGATACCATTATGAATTCATCTGTGTAAGCATTGTGGTGGTGTAACACGTGTTAGCACAAAGTCGACGGCGGTGGCAGTGTGATCGATCACTGTACTCTCTAACTCACGTTAATGACATAGCGCACAGTTGCCGCGGTAAGGTGGAAGGAACGAATTTTATCGTGGTTTCGACACTATTTTGGTGGCCATTGTGAACTACACCTTACTCATTCTACCGTTCCTTTTATTAAATTATTCTTTCATGTAACCGTCACTTGACACTACAAGCCCCCTTGGGTGGTTTCAAATTTTATTATTTCTTATACTGTAACTCATCGAGTGCTCTTTATTTGGTATACGTGAGTCATATAAAGCGTATATATCAAATATAAAAAGTAGCTAATTTTGAGTAAACGATTATACGTAAGCCTTTGCTGCTGAATATTGAGTGGAGAAACTAGAAATTTGGGCGGGTAACATTACAGATTTCTTCTTCTTAAAGTGAATGCACTACGTAATCGACAAAATGACAAAAGACTGGAATATATGCTAATATTCAGTTGTGTGTCATAATGTATTTTTAGAGTCGTTACAATTAGTTAAATTTCAGTAAATAGATCGTATCAAATCACCGCAAAGATTTTTAATAAGAAAAGAATAAGTCATAACTTATTTAGATTACTTATTTACTAAATAGTTCAAGCACGCATGCCCTTTTAAAGAACTACAAAAGTTAAAGAAGTATTTTATCTTACTGGTTTACAGTCGTTGGGAGCATATTTTAAGTGTGGTAAGTGTGTGTATGTGGGGGTAACCACTAGAAGAAAATAAGTTACAGGGTAGTAAAATAACCTCAGTTCATAAGTAAACCGGACTTATCTCCTCCGATGCAGCAGGGGGTGATTCTTAGCGGGTCGGCCAAAAGGGCTGAAAGGGTTTTTTAGGAGTTCTCCTTGATCTTTAGCCACGAGGTTGGAGTCCTGTGTAGACGGTTCTTCTGAAATCCAGGTTTCGCCACGGTGTTACCACTGTCCCTAAGAGATGGTGCTGACAAGTTTTTCTTACGGCGTTTTGTTTTGTGGAGTCTTCGATCCTGTCTGGCTGTTGTTTTACGTACGACCAGTACTAATGTTTGGTCGCAGAACACTTCATCTACACAACTTGCCCACCTCTTTTAAAGGCTATATGACGAGGCACCGCCCCCTCTTTAAATGTGCTGCACAAACTTACAACTGCAAACTCCAGTACACGTAGAATATTATTTTTCTCCGATTTATTATATATATATGCCTTTAACAGCCTTGTACCCCACTCAAGATATTTGTTCGATTTCTGCCACTTGGAGATTGTTTACCATTGCTACAGTCAGCTTTATAAATAGTTTTGTATCAGCTTTTAAATTGTTGGGATAACAATTTAAGATTACAATTGTGCCTGTAATTTTAATAATATGCCATCATTTTAGCAGGACTGCAATATGAATTTTTTCTTTAAATTATAGGCAATTCCACTTTCCTTCTTATTAAGCAAAAAGCTAAATTGGCTAAATCTTTACACACCCCGGATTAAGAAGGAAAAGTCCCAATCCTATAACTATGGTTGGTTAAGTTGGAAGGTAGATAATGTTATGCGATTCATTGCCATACCACGCCCCATTTTCCATAGGGGTCAGATTTTAGTAAAATAGAAAATCGCTATCAAAATTTGTCCCCTTTTTGGTTATAATTTGCCGAAATATGGGTTGTGGCCCAAAGCCTAACAGAACAGTTTGTGATGCAGCGGGTTGGTCACAAGTGACAATGCAGTTCGTTAAAATGGAATTCAAAACTCCGTTTGCGGTCTCTTCGCTAACCAATCAGCTATCTTTGGGAGAGCTTTAATGCGGCCAAGGAATGCTTGCAATTCGTCGCAATTTGCCATGCATTTGGGGAACTTAACCACCATCCCTGAACATTGATCGAAGACTGCTAGATCGGCAATGGAGAGCTGAATGTGAAAAGAAATACAGTCAATTATTCGAATGAAAAACTACGATGAAATAAGAGTTTAGTTTTTAATATCTTATATATCTCACTTAATTTTGAAAAACTAAAAAATAAGACCACCATTTTGAATATAAAAGTAAAAATACTGTACATCTTAATAATATGAGCAGCACAATACAATATTTCAAGACAAAGCCTTTTGTCTAACCTTGTCTCCTGCAAAGTATCCTTTGCCGCCGTCGTTGCTTTTTAAAAGTTTATTAAGGCGTTGCATGAATCCAGGCAGTGTTTCATCAGTTAACTTCTTTTCTTTCTCTGCCTAGGAAAAAGATGGAGGACCAATGAAGTCAACAGAACTATCACTTGATATTCGATTGGTTTGAAACAAAATTGGCCTTTAAAACCCTGGTCCCTTGTCCAAAATTCTATTACGGCACCATGGTTACCCCCCCCCCCCGGACAATCCCCCTCAAGACAGCCTCACCCCTATTCCAGGAAACAAAATACACAGCTTTTTCACTATGTACTTGAGCCATTCACACATTTCTTGAATTTTTTACTGAATGTAAAAAAGAAGACAAAAAATTAAATAAAAACAATGATTGGATATTGATTATAAGACTCGGTAGGCTCATTATACGCTTAAAAAGTGAGGTAACTTTAAATTTCAAGATGCTACAGATGCTTCAGGTGCATATTTGACATTACTAATAAAACAAACACTACACCATTTTATCCATTTTTCTACACAACTTTCACTTGATTAAGGGGAAGGGGGGTAAAACAGTTAATAGTACCAGTTCATCAAAGGGATTCCTAGATGAGAGAGATTATTTGTTTAATCCGCCTATACCTGGAGATACATTTTGATTAAAGGCAGTCATTATTTTGTTTCAATATCACACTGTTCATGCTCAGTTTGATATTCATTACAGGAAGGGGAATTGCCCAAAGGGAATTGTCCGGGGGGAGGGATATCGGGGGGTAGGGGGATTGTTCTGATACCCTACATGTAATACACTTCTTGTCACAGTTATCAACCATTACGTACACCAAACAGACCAGTCACTTAAATATGCTACCTTCTTTGCTTCATCTTGCTCGAAATGCCAGTCGATAAGAGACTTGGTCATATCCTCTAAAGTGTAAAGGACCTGGTCGATCATGGCACCGTCCATGGTACTATTTCCATAAAGCCCTAGAAAGAAAGAATTGAGTTGTAAAAAACACTGAAATAACTTTAAGGTGGCTAGACTTTGTACATGTAGCACAGCCGCTGCCTTTGATCAACGCTTAAAATTTGTTTCTGTAAGGTAATCTCTTACGTGTTTAAGCCTAGGTCCCAACTACGTTTTGGACGCACGGTTTTTAGGTTCCTTGCGTCCGACTAGGACGTAGCTATATCGCAGGGAAGAAATCAAGTAATTGGTGATAAGTTTCTACGTGCTGTTTGCGTCCTCCAAAAGTCGCACTATGGACGTGCTCCTCAGGCACGAATTCCCAAGTATGCCCCATTTTTTGGGCCGTAGACCACACGTAGCAGCCCGCACGTTCGGTTGGGACCTAGGCTTTACTAGTAAGCGAAAACTACAATGCAGAAAATCTTTGAACATCTGTCACATTCCTTACCGTGTTCTCGTGCCACATAACGCGCCATAGCCAAACTCTGACCAATCTTCTTCCCGTCCACCTCCATGAATGGGCTCTGTCCGGTTGGGCTCACTGTAAAATAAGTGAAATTATGTTAAACGGTAATACTTGACTATGACGCCTGGCCTGGTTGTCAGATCCATGCAGCTTCGTTATTTTTAAATTGCGTGGATATGTGAAGATTTAAAAATGACGAATGCTGACTCGCACAGAATCTGAATCTTAGGGTCTAAAGCTAACAAGGCAGAATATGTAACTGGCATAGGGCTTCAGACCCATGAGAGTTGAAATTCACATATTAAAATGCCACAATGAGAAAATTCGAAATTTTACAAAAAAAGTGCACAAATTCAAGAAAAATAATGTTATCAAGCGGGCTTTCCAATAAGAGCTGTATGTCAATCCTAAGAATAATTCTTTAAGTTAGAAAATAATGTAACACGTTTTTCCTTTCAGAGCTTATTTAATTGCAATGCAAAATGTTTTACTCAATTGGGACGCAATATTATATAATGATTAACTACATAACATGGGCATGTAAAAATGTTGTGACTGCCATACGGCGTGTTTATGCCATCGGGAGTTTAAGTCCCACACTGAAAATGCCAGTATGTGAAAAATGAACATTTCACAAAAATTGCATTTATTTCCACAAAAATAGTCCAATCAGGCTGCTTTAAGCTGTATTTTAGTCCTATGAATATTTTCTGTGAGTTTTGGAATCATAAGTAACATGGTTTTCTTTCAATGGTCATTATGACGGCAGTGCCCAAAATAGGGCCCGGTTTCTTCAATTTGATTCAAAATTACATAATGCTTAACAGCATAATGACCACCAATTTTAAATAGTTCATAAATTGGATATTCAGAAAAATATAATTAGCAAAGGCTTTCAGGCCCATGGAAGTTCAAAGTCACACCTTGAAATTGCTCTTATGTGAAAAATAATCATTTCACAAAAAACTTAACTTCCATAAAATTAGTACAATTAGACTGGTTTTTAAACTCAACCTGTATTTCAGTCCTTTGAATAGGGGAGTTGGACCCCGGGGTAAGTTGCCCCCCCCCCATCAAGTCACTTTAATAAAGTTACTTAAAGATGCTAAATTATTTCATTTGGACTCACTGCCGACGCTTTCTTAGCACTATTGGATACGATCACTTTACAAAATGATGTGATCAATTCTTTTACCCCATAGTTACTTTGTCATAAATTGATGGGGCCAACTTACCCCGGGGTCCAACTAGCCCCGGTCTCCCCTATATCGACAATTATAAGTAGGCCTAACATGGTTTTCCTTTCATGGTCATTATGGCAGCTGCGTCCAAAATAGGGTTTTCTTCAATTTTGATGCAATATTACACAAAGCTAAACAGCATAATCACCACCATTTTGAATAATATAATAAAACATCTTGGATATTCAGGAAATGTGACTAGCAAACGCCTTCAGGCCCATGGAAGTCCAAAGTCACGCCTTGAAACTGACAAATGAACATTACACACACACACACACACACACACACACAAGAATGCATAACTACAAGGAAAAATCCAATCAGGCTGGTTTCTGAACTCGACCTGTATTTCAGTAATACTTATCACTCCTGTTAGTTTGAAGACAATAGTTCGAGGTCAGTGCGATATTTGTATTGCATATATGCTGAAAAAAGGCTAAAAATTTTTTTAATGGTCTGACCAAGCTGATTTACGAACTCGACCTGTATTTTATGAATATTAACTTCTGTAAGTTTGAAGACAATGCAAGTAGTTCAAACGGTTTTCCATTTATTTATTTATTCGTTGTATCTCTGGAAATGCACGGCGACGGCGAAGACAGCGAATGGCTATAAAAAGTCAGAAACCTAACGATATCGAATGCATCTACCACTATTGGTTATATCTAAAATCCGTATGCTGTTTCATAGGTTAGATGTAAAATACTAAACTTCATCTACCTATCCCTTAAGATGTCTAGGGATGTATAGTTCTGGGGAGTCTAGCCATCACCGCTAGCGTACCGGTGTCATGAAAATGACAGTCCGTGTGACAGAAAGTCCGCCCTCCATATAGTTACAATGGTTAGGGTTAGTTTGATCTAAGCGGGTCAAAATCTAGGGCGAGACTCACCTGTATAAATGATTGGGAAGCGGACTCTCTGTCAAGGGGTACATGATACCGGGTACTGTATATCGCAGAGATAATCACAAGCCTTGGAACAATGGCACGTCCGCTCTATCAAAGGTCAGCAGGGCGATGACATCATTTTCCCCAAAATATTTATCGCTCACAGTACAGAAAAGTGCAGAGATATAGCCAGAGAAATAAAAGTGAATATCAAGTGGAAATTGTTTACTGGGGCCATGGCAGTAGGTTTATAGGTATAAGATACATGGACCTAAGCGTAAAATGAGGTAATAGGGAATCATGCTTTGTTCCGTGATTGTGGTGCTCGCTGAACTTCCACTACATGCACCAAGAAACGTACNGATACAGCTGTGAGCAGCAGTCGGAGATCGGTACATTTCACTTGTTAGTTACGAACTACTTCCTGGTTTCCACAAGGTCCTTCAAGACCTCTAAAACATCGTTGTAATTGCAGCCCATACCATAAAACACCCAAAAATACTTAGATATGGACATATCGGATTATATTAATGCCAAATTTCCACATGGCGACGATTTATAGACTCCCGGGAATTATTTCCCCTTTACGCTTTTTGTCGCGCTGGCGGTCGACGCAGCATTTATTTCTAAACAAGTTGACCGCAAATTAAGCACGATTTTGCACCTTCAGGTTCCGTGTCACGTTTTCATATCATGCATTTATAATTTCTACAAGTTTTCTCTGCCCAAAATGCGTAAAAAAAGAGAGTTATCTTACCATGTTGTTTAGAAAACTTCTTTTTCCTCCGACAACCCGTCTTCACTGCCGTTCACCTCTATGTTAAAATGACCACTCAGCTTCGTTTCTAACACCACTGCACGTCACTTCCGGCACAATTCTGACCAATGCTGATCTTCTCCGGTTCCCTTTATTCTTTTACCCCATAGTTACTTTGTCATAAATTGATGGGGGTCCAACTTACCCCGGGGTCCAACTAGCCCCGGTCTCCCCTATATCGACAATTATAAGTAGGCCTAACATGGTTTTCCTTTCATGGTCATTATGGCAGCTGCGTCCAAAATAGGGTTTTCTTCAATTTTGATGCAATATTACACAAAGCTAAACAGCATAATCACCACCATTTTGAATAATATAATAAAACATCTTGGATATTCAGGATATGTGACTAGCAAACGCCTTCAGGCCCATGGAAGTCCAAAGTCACGCCTTGAAACTGACAAATGAACATTACACACACACACACACACACACACACACACACACACACAAGAATGCATAACTACAAGGAAAAATCCAATCAGGCTGGTTTCTGAACTCGACCTGTATTTCAGTAATACTTATCACTCCTGTTAGTTTGAAGACAATAGTTCGAGGTCAGTGCGATATTTGTATTGCATAGGGCCTATATGCTGAAAAAAGGCTAAAAAAATTTTTTAATGGTCTGACCAAGCTGATTTACGAACTCGACCTGTATTTTATGTATATTAACTTCTGTAAGTTTGAAGACAATGCAAGTAGTTCAAACGGTTTTCCATTTATTTATTTATTCGTTTTATCTCTGGAAATGCACGGCGACGGCGAAGACAGCAATGGCTATAAAAAGTCAGAAACCTAACGATATCGAATGCTACTACCACTATTGGTTATATCTAAAATCCGTATGCTGTTTCATAGGTTAGATGTAAAATACTAAACTTCATCTACCTATCCCTTAAGATGTCTAGGGATATATAGTTCTGGGGAGTCTATCAGGGGCGGATCCAGGGTTATTTTCTGACAGTCTTCCAATTTATCTTTCTTGGTCCATCCTCCATTTTTGACCGTCTTCCGACAGAAAAAATTAGATACCCATCAATGTAAAGTTGAAAATCTGACCGTCTTCCGGAAGACCCAGAAGACGCCCTAAATCCGCCCCTGTCTATAGCCATCACCGCTAGCGTACCGGTGTCATGAAAATGACAGTCCGTGTGACAGAAAGTCCGCCCTCCATATAGTTACATTGGTTAGGGTTAGTTTGATCTAAACGGGTCAAAATCTAGGGCGAGACTCACCTGTATAAATGATTGGGGAGCGGACTCTCTGTCAAGGGGTACATGATACCGGGTACTGTATATCGCAGAGATAATCACAAGCCTTGGAACAATGGCACGTCCTCTCTATCAAAGGTCAGCAGGGCGATGACATCATTTTCCCCCAAATATTTATCGCTCACAGTACAGAAAAGTGCAGAGATATAGCCAGAGAAATAAAAGTGAATATCAAGTGGAAACTGGGGCCATGGCAGTAGGTTTATAGGTATAAGATACATGGACCTAAGCGTAAAATGAGGTAATAGGGAATCATGCTTTGTTCCGTGATTGTGGTGCTCGCTGAACTTCCACTACATGCACCAAGAAACGTACGAGCAGGTGCAATCTCTCTTCTCTATTGGATTAAGACTAGTATTTCAGGCGATGGAACAAATAAAGAATCAATTGAATGACTTAAATGTTTTATGAGAATCAGACATGTAAGATTACAAATGGAAATAACTCACGCTGCTTGTAGTTATTAAGCCAATCATCACGGTCTTTAAATCTGATGTCTTCATATTCCACACCAGCAGCAGCAAGCGCCAGACGGGTAATCTCTGCACGTCCTCGTGCGTTAAAATAATATACCTTGTAGCTCGGCATCTTGGAGGTTAACAAACTCAGCTAAGTAATGAAACAGAAGACAAGGTCTACACTTGCTACTCGCACAACCTGTGATTCTACCCTCAGTATCGGGGCGTATATGTATGTCAGAATAAGTGCTGACTCACGACCTAACCCAATATCTACAAACATTGTACACCGTTGGTTTACTCTTTGGGGCCATTATATAGGTCCCTCGATAGAGTCAATACTTTAAAGGATTGATATCACCTTGGCAGTGACAACGAGTCATTGGCACGTAGTCATTGGCCATGCAACAAAGAACAGAGAAAAACTCACTGAACAGGCGTCTATAACAAGATTGAGAAATGTTTTGCAATTTTTGCAATGATGAATTGATCAGTTATTTGTTTGGGTTTGCACATAAATATTACAAAAGCAGGCTATACATGTAGATTGTAGGACCTATGAGCATACGGGTCAAAATTATTATTGGTTTTTCGTTTCTAAATAGGTGTTCAATTACCTCTTATTTACATACTGTTAAACAAACAGACATGCATATGTTACTCTTAGAAGGGGGTGCATGGTCATCAGGCGAAATATCAAGTGGTGTTTCACACCTTAACATGGGACAAAATGCATACTTTCCGTGTGTGAATATCTCCCAAAGTCATATAATTTCATATTTACCCACCCTGGAAAGCTTCTTATCTTTCTCAATCCAGACCCTACAAACGTTCAAACCCCTGATATATAAGTACCTGACGCCAGTATTTCCTAATTAGAAATTAGAATATCAAATACCAGTACAGGTACGGATTGAGAACAATATGGTTGGTGGTGCGATATGATCTATATATACCTTTTACATAATTGCGAATGATGTACACAAGCAGGAATGTATGACATCAGCACTCAGACCGTATTTTGCGACTGAGATAAGCAGAATTTTTATGTGTACCCTTATTACCACACGACCAGGGTCCGATGTCACTGGAATGCATGAAGAACGTGATGTCGGTCATTTGGAGTTGACATAGTTCGTAACTGTCGATATTTGATAGAATAAAGTTCCTAAAACTGCCCACTGCCACATACTGGCGTTTTAGATTCGATCTTGGAAAACGAATATTTGCTAGAAATAGTGCGTATGTAAGAAAAATAGCTTATGCTCATAAAATTATCAAAAAATCCACCTACCCCAGTGGCAGATTTAGGGGGAGGGGGTCAGGGGGTCCTGACACCCCCTTCAGTTTCTGGAAAAAATATTCACTTCTTAAAATTAGAATTTTTACTAGCTAAAGCATAATTTTAAACTTTCCTGGGGCCTCCAGCGAGCCCCGAACCCTAAGGGTGCTTTCTGCTTATCTCAGTCGCAAAATACGGTCTGAGTGCTGATGTCATACATTCCTGCTCGTGTACATCATTCGCAATTATGTAAAAGGTATATATAGATCATATCGCACCACCAACGATCCAAAGATCGATCTAAAGATTAAGATTTAGATCGACCTATCTCCCTGGGGGTTCACGCTAAATTGCAGTCAGTCGAGCGGGCACCATAGTTAATTACCCCCTTACAGCTTTTAGTAGGCGGGACAGACGCTTAAGCCGGCCAAGCTGACAGTTATCTAGTTAGACACCCCACAGGGATAGATCGATCTAAAAATCTATGGAAATGGGGTGTAAGCCAAGGGGGCGAGGAGCGGCTTTGCATCCCAGGCCTGTCATCCCTCCCCCCCCTTTCCCCCCCCCCCAAAAAAAAAATCAGACCCACTAAAAATAATCCTGTATCCGCCCCTGCACCCTTATATTCGTGTTGTACCCGCGTACCCCTCCTTGTACCTAATCTTGAGTAGTGTACTAGGTGCAACCCAGTTGAATGTACTGAGTATAAACCCATTTTGGAATGTCTCGAAGTTCTTATTACACGTTTGAAACCTCGATTCTGTTCTATGGGCTGTTGTAACGTGGCAGAGTCCCCCATAACAGAGAGTCCGCTTCCCATTCATTTGTACGCTAATCCTCGCCCTAGATTTTGAGCCACTTAGGTCAGGCTAACCCTAACCGTTATAACTAAATGGAGGGTGGACTTTCTGTTACACGGACCTTCACTTTCGTTACAGATTTATTGAATCTTATTCCCTAACATTTGTTGTCCGGGAAACATGATCATTATCATCGCGGTCTTTAAATCTGATGTCTTCATATTCCACACCGGCATAAGCAAGCGCCAGACGAATGACTTCTGCACGTCCTCGTGCGTTGAAGTAGTACAGCTTGTACTTCACGTCCTTCGACATCTTGGGGGGTGATCAGATGCACTGCTACGTAATGAAGAAGATAAATTTTATGCGTGTTACTGGTACAACTTGTAATTCTACAGTGTGTTTGTCCTCTATACACCGGGTCGTATGTGTACTATCGTGAAGAAGTGCTAACTCATGCATATTTTTTATGCACACGTACCGTACATAGAACGGTTGTATTCCGTTGGTTTACTCATTAGGGTTAGTATATAGGTTACTCGTTAGTGTTTTTATATAGAACGACTGATGTCCACTCTGACACCGATATGCACCCCCCCTCCCAAAAAAAAAAAAAAAAAAAAAAAAAAAAAAAAAAAATATATATATATATATATATATATATATATATATATATATATATAGGGGACCCGTTTGTGAAACCGGGGCCAGTTGACAGGGACGCATAGTTTTTCACTGTGGAAAGTGATTTGTTCCGCTTGTTTTCATTCCTTTTAAAAACACTGCATCATCTTTCCCTCAACAAATCTGCCCGTCCAACACACTCATGTTAATTTTTAAGCACGGATTTTATTGGCATGTTCTTGTGAAAAAAAGTAAAGGAAATGAAACAAATTACTTCACAGAACATAAGTCAATGACTGGACTCAAATGCACAATTTTTGGTGAAATGAACCAAACAATTGAAAAGCAAAGTTTTTTTGTGCGAAGTTGCTGTTAAGAACATAGCGTCAATTACAAAAATGTTTTTTCCCCTAACATTTTTGAAGATAAACTTTCAATATAGTGGAAACAAGAACAACACATGAAAAGACATTTTTATTCCCATAATATTATTTTCATACTGCTATGACCTATTTGTATCTGTGCCCTGGTTCTCAATTTAAACCTGCCATATTACTGCTGATGAAAAAAACAAAAAACAAAAACAAAAAACAATTATGAAATCAGATATCAAAACCCGCAAGTAACAGAATACAAAACAAAGAAGACAAGGCTATTAAGATCTCAGAAATAGACCTACTTATTACAGTAATCAACACCACACATACTTAAAAAACATGAAATCTCCACAATATTATTTTAACAAGTCCCATTGCAACAATACTGCAACAACCAAACATAACAAAACTTGTAAAAATATAATAACCTAAAGCCTTTCCAGTCATTTTACTTGCATACCAGTAATACACTGGCATCACTTTTGGTGTATTTTATTGTACATCTTTTTCTAGTCTTTACAAAAGGCTACTTTGGAAACTTTACTTGATGCTGATCACTGAGACACCTGCTACTATTTAGTATTACATACAACACCTGGATAACACTGCTTCATGTTGAAATGTTCATTAAAACTGTTTGCATTTAGACATACATAGACTTGCAGACGGTGGAGAACTGCAAATCTTGGAAGAGTGTTACTAAGAGAATATTACATATCAAAGCAATGTTAGCAAAAAAGTTATCAAACACTCACAATACATCAGATGTATTCAGCAGATAATAGCAATATGTATCACAGTCAGGAAATTAACAACAACATCCTAGATGTAACATTTAGTAAAAAAAAGTTACATTTAAAGCTCAAATTAGCTGCTGAATTGGTGTCTGTGTTGCTTTGTGCTCTCAAAATTGAATTCACTTGTCTACTATTTGAACTTTACATTTTAAATATAACCAAAAACTGAGTGAAAAGACACAATAGCACCCTTAAAGCAATGACCATGACAAGGATTACATATGTGAAATACAAACTGTTTTTGGAATGTTTAAGTTTTACTGCATTTTACAATCACACTGTATGCACCTTAACAGCAACTTTTCTATTTGTCAAAGAAAAAAGGCACTAAATGTTATAAATGTCTTCAAATTTTGCAAAACAAAATGTAACTGAGTGACCCCTTGATGAATCATTTCTATCCAAATCTTATCCAATGGCCTTCCTGCAGATTTGATAGTTGATGTGAAATTCAGATGAATTATGCCTTAAAATCAAAGTATAGAGCTTTTTAATGCTGTAATTCTTCACAACACCAGTTTCAAAATACCTGTCTGTCTTAAATGATGATAAACCTTAAAGTTGTCTTTTGCTAACAGACCATGCCCCTGCCAAAATTTTAATCCCCTTAAGAGCCCTTTTTTCTCCCTCTACAAAAACATCATGACATCAGGCCTTGCAATGATGATCATGATCCTGAGAGACTCTGCACCAAGTATTCAATCAATATATACACCACTATTGACTCCAAACTCCTCCCTCGGCATGGCACCTCTTTAGCACGAGTCTAAACTTCTCCCGCGGCATGACACCTCTTTAGCATGACTCCAAACTTCTTCCACGGCATGATACCTCTGCACCACAACTGCAAACTCCGCCCATGGCCTCATAACCTCACCTTGATGCAGCCCTATCTAACTCGAATCCATGAACTAATGCATCACCATGACGCAGCTAAATCTCTCCCAATGACATGAACCAGCCAAATATCCTTTGTCAATTTCTGATCACAGATATAATAAGCAGTGTGCCCTTGAACAGTAGATGTGCATAGAAACCATGCATAAAATACCATAAAAAGATCCCCTGTAACTACCTGTTAAATAAAACTACAGGTTGTTTTTCCTTTTTCTATTTTATAACCTTGACAAGTTTGACTTAGTAATGAAATAAACCTCCAGTAAAAATAAACCTCTTAGAAACCTTGAACAGCAATGTCCCCACTGTTTGATATGCACCCACAATTAATTTAAAATGATAATTGTTGTTTTCACCACCCCTCAAACATTCACAGCTGATATCATGTGTTTTAGTGTCTTTCTTCCACTATGAAAACCTGCCCCTCTTGTAGCTGCTTTGTTGCATTTAAGAAGTGCTGAAATTTAAAAGAAAGAAATGTTCATTAAAGATTACCATACCCATTCAAAGAAACATTTGAATGTTTTAAAAAATATGAAGGATCAAACTATTATGTTGGGACTACATGTCTCACCCTTTTAATTGCTTTGTTTATTTAGAAAACAGAACTTCGCTGTCTTCTGGTCCACATACTTTTCTGCACATCTCATTTTCTGCACTTAAAATATATCACTATCTTAATGAGTCATAAATTATGCTAACTTAAGTCTACAAAGAACACAGCTCAATTCCTACTATTTTCCTCAAAAAATTTCAAAAGTTTATAAAATTTCCAAAGATATTGCACCCTCATCTACCCGTCTGTGCAGTGATGGTGTCCTCCTTACCCCCAAATGTACAATACTACAATTACCCTTCCTCTACATACCTCTCTGCTGCCGCAGCAGGCTGCTCCTTGGGAACTGGCGAAGCAGGTGGTTCTGGCTGGGGAGGAGGACTGGCCTCTCCACCCTCCACTCCTTGCTCTGGCTTGCTGTGAGAGTCTGAACTGAGGCTAGACACACTGGACTCTGTCACCTTGAGTCCCTGTGCAGGCCCATTCTCTACCACGGAACCCTGACTGCTGGTGCTGTGGTGCCGGGCTGGTTTGAGGTTAGCCTTCAGGGGGCCCTGCTTTGGCTTGGGTTGAAGAGCATCTGGGGAGGCCTCTTGGATCTGCATGTGGTACTTATAGGTCTCCTCCGTGCTGTGGACCTTACCTGAGAGGGCGAGGTGGACAGAGTGTGAAACAAAGCTGGGTGACATTTAAAGTTGAACAAAAGCTGATTATGTCCTAATAAATTTAATATTGTTACACTGATTGTATATATGTTATGTATATTCTGAGCTTGTAAAATATTTTGTACTTTCTGCTCACGTTGGTATCTACTGACTTTCACTAGTGACCTTCATATCAGCACTTAAACATGGTGGCCAAGACAAATGTTATACTCCAGAATACTTTGGGATGCCTTTGAAATAATCCCATGTGTATTAGATATTAAATCAAATATTAAAATTACAATATTTAGTGGCATACTCACACCTGGCAAACCTCTGACATCTACTAAATGTTGACACCATTCAAATGTACAGTTACCTGACGCCAGATTAAATGTCCTTCCCTTGACCCCCGTCTCCTTGGGAGGAGGTGACCACCAGCTGACCAGTGACCCCACAAGTGGAACATGGCGTAAAAGGCCCTGATACAGTATAATACAGAAGTCACGTCAAGTCATGACATCTATTTGTTTTTTCCCAAATACACTTTTTTAAATAATGCAATGATAACACTAAGTAACATTATGTCATCAGACTTTTTTCATACTTCCAAGGCATCATAAAATGCCTTTACCAAACTTGCAATCATAATGCTTGCAGATATATAGTGCCGTCATCTTCCGCGTATCATCATAATGGTATAGATTATGTTACATCATGCACAGTTCAAATTTACATCCATTTTAACGAGGAAAAATGCTGAAAAATGAGAAACAATTACATTCCCTACCTCCTGTATAAGTTTTTCTTCATTTTCTTTCTTCAGATCTTCATTGGCTGCCTCTATACCTTTCCTGACAATTTCTGACATCTTCTCCAGGAATTTGGATGATTCTTCAATTTCTTTGGCAGTAGTGTAGACCAGTCCTATCAGCTCTTCCATGTCTGTCTCCTCAGTGATGAGACCAAACCTTGCACACACCAAACCATCCTCTGCTCTACCTGAAGAAATAATATATACCAATTTATTATCAAATGACAAGTGTTAGTCTTCATATCATAACTGTTAACTGTGTTGCTTTTAATTTGGAGACTGTTCACCTGGTGCAATGAAATTAAGTTGTTTTGACTCACATGTACAGGCCACAATGTCCCTGTTTTATCCTACTACAATCAATGCTAATGAAATGGACCTTTAACTTATTAACTTTATAACTCCTATTGTGTTTTAATATGTAACTTCTTTTAATACTAGGTCTTGATACATGTACAAGCTGGCAACATGGCCATTTATTTTTAGAGATTTGCTAAATTCTAGTGCATGATTATTGTTCTTGAAGTATGTTTATTTCTGTTTTTTTTTCTTACTTCATCCTCATATGTGTCCGGCTGGTGTCATACTTTTCCTTCATGGGTCCCTTTGGTCTCTTAACGCAACTTAACTTTGTTTCCTTTTACCACAGTCATCACTTACTATGTGTATAAATATTCTCACTTTTTACCCCCTCCAGTTCTCTTCTTACAGGGCCCCAAGTATATTCAGCACTGTATATGTGTGCTTACATATTTTCATTTGTTCAATTTCTACACAAGGTCTTACCTAATGAAAATGCAGTGTCACTAGATTTGAGTTGTTTGACTAGTTCAGTGTTGAGGTGATTGATCTCTCTTTTAGCAGCAGCCGTCAGAGCATCCAATTTGTCTATCCAGTGGTCTGGAATGTATCTGCAGCAGATTTGACAAGTTTTAGTTAAGAAGTGAAAAGTTACGTTGTCAGGTGTGTAAAAACCAAAGCTGAATATTAATCCTTGTACAGCACATACACGTATATATATAATATATATTCTTATTCAATGCACAAATCACCCATTTCATATATACCAAGCTTATAACTACCAGTCAATCTTAGTTTCCTGTTACTCTGAACTAAAAGGAATAAATACTGCTTCACCAAAATGAATACTGCTAAAAAATATTGTATCCCTGAACCCCATCTACAAACAAATAACTGCCTAAACCTGCAACTCAACAGATCACAACTGACACCAAATGCAAACAAGTGATAACAATTGTGAAGCAATACTAAAAAGTCAACAGCGCTGTTCTGCTCCGACTTACTGCACTGCTCCCAGTCCAGCCCAGGTGGGCAGGTGGACAAGCCTCAGGTTATCCTGGGCCTCCACAACCTCCTGGAAGTTCTCCTTCTGCTTCACTGTGGCATTCAGAATGGACTGGAGAGGAGAGGGTTCCAGATTAAGACTCCAGTTATGTGGCAAATTAGTCAGATTGCAAATAAATGTTTAAGACACACACTTATTATCTTGGACCGTGACCCCTCTGTGGCTCAATCGAAGCTGTGAAGGCGGCAATTAATTTACACAGTATCAGTATACAAAGATGATATATCACTCTAGTAAAACCTATGCACTTACCACTTGCTTGCCTAGAGATTTCCCCCACACCTCCATATCTTCCAATGTTGTTCCTTGGACTGACATAAATTGGAACAAATACAAATTATAATCCACAATATAGAAAATGATCCAAATGATCATGAATAGACTTTAAAATTGAAGTTTTTGCTTACACTTGGGAAGCTTCTTGGTGATATAAAAATGAACAGCTGCAAATGACAAACTTGAAATATTACAGGAAATCTGAAATCTTCCTTCACCCACTGATTCCTGTATTAGTAAAGGCAGCCCACCAACTGCCAGTAATGATTCCAAGGGGTGAATAGATGCAGTTATGTCACTCTTGAATATCATTAGCCACTCTGGAATATTATTAGCTTTGGCAGTAAAAAGCAACTGCTCTCACCTTGTGCATTTTCCAGTGGTGAAAACCTGATACACAGTCCTTCATTTGGAACTTCAATGGTGTCCAGGTGCACTGTAGACACTTCCCTCTTTAGAGTTTCAGCAAGCTAAAACATCAAATACGTCACAATTAGTTCAAAGCAGTGAAGTTTAGGACACACGTCTTTTGTTTCTAAAAATACTGCTTTTAGGAAAAGTGACAATTTTTCTTAATACGTAACTGAAATCACATTATGCTTGCAAACTTCTATCTGAAAAGTGGTAAACTGAAAAGTTCCAGTAATATCTAACCTACAGTCAACCAGAAAAATATCAATTCAGGCTTACAAATTGAGGATGATATATACAATAGGAAAACCCCATACCCAAATGTTAAGGGCATCAAAATAATCTTCATGTCTGTAACTCTCTTCTGTGCCCACACTCATAGTGGGGGGTTCAGCGCCATCCTCTGATTGAGTGCTGCTGGGAACATGGTTGGCAGAAGTTTCTTGAGCTGCATATGGGGCACGCTCGGGCATCTTTGCTGGAATTTTGACGGGTTTTGGTGCATTTTTTGCATAAGAGGCTACTTCTGTAATGAAAACAATTTTTTTTTTTCAAAATCAAAGGTTGTTGATGGAAATATCACAAACAGATAATAAAAACATACATTCAGTATGGTTTAATGATGTCCATCTATGCAAATGTCATTGTATCTTAAATCAGTCACTGCCACCTTTTGTGGTGAAAATTCATTATTTCAATGGAATTTCCACTTTTTTTCAGGCAGGTAGCAAGGAATACCTTAGGACTCAGAAATAGGATTCTACGATTAAAGAAACTGGGTAAACTTGTATTTATGCACAGCGAGCAACTGATTTGAATCATAAATAATAAATGCATCTTGAAGCAGCTGTAAAACTTGAGTATTCAAATGAAAGAGCTTAGAGCAATATACATACTGACCTGGCGGCGCATCTGACGCATAACAACTGTACTTAAATACCACACTTGGGGAAGAGATTTCATAAGTCAACTGAAATAAGAGAAAAACCTTTACTTCTTCCTGAATGCAACAGAATTGGCATAAAGTGTACTAGATGAGAATGACTGGGTTAAGAAAGTGTTACTATGCAATGATATTATTGATCAAACCCATCCAAAAGATAACTCTATGTGATTGTAACAGTTTTCACATAAAAATACACACTCTGGGAGGATGGCTAGATGATACTCTTACCATATAAGATTATCCAAATCGCTTTGCATTGTTTAATATTATGATCATACTTAAAATGTTCAATATCAATATCCAATTTTACAATATCTAATTCATTTTGAAGCTGACAGCATGTACTCTATAGGGGAAGTGTTTTTTTTTTTTTTCGGTACAACACCAATGCTAAACAATAACTGTAAACAAAATGAAATAATCATATAGAGTGCAATAAACATAATTCAGTGCTAAATTAATCAAAATCTTGTAGTGTGAGACATCAATCAGGATTTTATTATCTCCCCTTTTTATCATAATTGACACTTATATAAGACAGCCCATACATGTCAATAAGTAGACAGAAAGTTAAACACTAAACATCAAAGACTTCTCACAAAACTAAACTTGCAGTGCTATAGTCATCTAGATCTGTGATAATGAATAATTATCACTTTAAAAAATAGGATGTTAGCCAGAGCAAAGACTTCTCAGAATGTAAGTATGCTAATTTAGAGATTGAAAACACATCTTTAAACTCAGCTACACCCTCTTCAAATTGTCCAGGCAATCAAATACTTCTACTCTAACCTAACTACCTGCAAGCATACTTACAAAATTGACAACAGCTTTACTGATACGTGACCTTAAAGATGTTTCATTGGGGTCCTTGTCAGCAGGCTTAACTGTGTTACTCTGTGAAGTTAATGGTGTACACCAAACGTGTTACTCACAGCAAAAACACAGTAATACTGGATAATGTATATATACTCAAGTATGAGGCACAAAGAGGGATTTGATGACAGACCACACATAGCACACTGCAGGTGTAGAAGGTTGTACTCACAGCAAGCCTTAGACTACACTAGACACAACACAGAGGTTTGTTAGCAACACCTTTCTTTGTCCTGATTTCACTTACAAGGGCATTTATAGCTTTTGAGAGCATGTGCCCTAAACCTTCACTTTCAGCTTCAGGCTTGGGAGGTGCTCGGTTACTCTGGTGATAGAGTCAGATAAAGATACCATGATATTGAATTAACTCTTACCAATAATCCCAAAGTGCCTAGATTGTTTTGAAAATTGACAACTCAGATAAATAATAATAGTGTAATATAAAGATAAGGTATTCTAGTAAGTATTTCTTGTCTACAGTATTCACAAACCCCATTAAGTTAAACTCCATTCATCCCAATGTCTAAACAAACATGCAGCAGGAGAGATTCCAAATGAAAACCTTAATAACAAGCCTCAAAAGTTTGGGTTGGGTACATTTATCAAACATCATTCAGAGCTAGAGCTAAAAGAAGTGTAGTTTACATGCCCTATCAAAGGAGAGCATTTGCCATAATTGCTTGCTTTATCCTTCATGCATACTGGTTGCCTTATGAATAGAAACTGTCTTAAAAGAGTTTTTTCTCCCAAACTAAAAACTTCAGTTTAAAAAATTGGTATTACTTTGATAAGCTTGCAATGATAATGTATAAAATGTATAATACTTACCACTTCCTGAAGTGAACTGTGTCCCATCAATTTTTCATGCATTTTCTCTGCCTAGTAAAAGAGAAATATAAATCCATGTTATGATGTACAAAATAAATATAAATCATAATGCAAAGAGAGAGGGATTTTATTAATAAGTTTCCTGTAATAATAACATTTAGATAACTTAATATCATTTCATCAAAAATAAAGATATTCAATTGCTTACTAATTCAAAATGATTTTTAAGTTTGGAAGAGTTACCTATATAGCTTAAAAGATTCATTTTTCAATCTATCATATAATCAATACACTGGGGAGCTTTTCCTATTCATCTACACGTTAACACATCTAAATTCATCATGATACATGTAAAAATGAATATAATCAATAAAATTCCAGTTAATTCATATGTTACCAAGTCTACTGATAATTTGATCCTGTTGACCACCCCTTCGTGCCCCAGGTTTTGTAGACACACCCATATGGGAAGACAACTGAGCTTGTAGTGTGTCTGTAAAGATGTCAGGCCAGCATGGTAGGCCTGGGTGCTGTCAGCAGTTTTATATAAGGTCTGAACAGTAATGTTAAGGTAGAAAAATTTACAGTTAGGGTAAATGCCACTTAAAATGATAAGTGTCGAAACTGTGTACATAGTAAACTCTACCAAGAAGGAAAATCAGAAACAGATAATTTTTATTCGTAAGCTGGTACTTCACATATTTAATCAAACACTTTATTAAAACTGGGCGCCAACAGAAGACTTATCATTCCACTTTTAATTCACAGAGCTTTTAAATTCACTAGTTTACCAGATAAGATGGTTTACTTTAAGGGACATGATGAAAATGGGCATTAATTTTTTTTTAATCAAATTACAGAATAACATTTTCTATCCACTTAGTCCTTTATGAACTGTCAAATGATGAAATTAGTCAAAAGGATACCACATAAGGCAAAGAGGGCAGACCCAGCCAGCAGCCCAGGTTTAGAGTGATACTGTCTCCGGTCTTCACTGGTGACACATTGGTTGGGACAGAGTACATGGCTAAGGTGGCCAAGTGATGACTAGAAAGTACAGAGATAAAATTACAAAATTATTTCTTGAAACTATAAAAATTTAAAAATAAAGGAAATATGATGGTGAAATACTAAATTTAATTATCAATCTTTCGTTATATGGGTCATCTTTAGAAGCAACTGTTTTTTTTTCTTTTGTTTTGATATCATTTTCCTCAACAAAGAAAAAGTTTAAATATCTTGGGTTCTACTTTTGACATGTTGTCTGCTAAATGATACAGCATGAATCTGTGGTCTTACCCTTCCACATGAAACCAAATCTGGTGCTTTTTACAAATGCTCTGAATCTTTTCTATGTCATCAACCTGAGCAATGACAGGAGTACCTGAAGATACACAAATGTGAATGTTCAAATAAAAGATAATAAATAAAGTAAATTAACATTTAAGGTCTGCTTTTTGTAATTCTTTCATGTTACTGTTATAAAAATTTATCTATTTTTTATGAAAGCTAAATAGGGCACGATATGAATCTAATAAGTATATATTCAACAGCAGCTGCAAACACTTTAAGATAACAGATATCACTAATACCTCAACTGATTACATGAATTAGACACATTCACCGCAGTGTTACTATTACAACATCTATACTGTATACAGTAGGTGTTAATGTAAACTTAGGCTTCCATTTCCTCACCATCATAACATAATACAATTAGAGCACAGCTGGTGGATTTTCATTTTCATAATTTATATGCCATATTTTTCCATTATCAACACAGGCATAGATGTGCAAAAATATATATGCAGATATCACAACTGTATATTTATCTGAAATGTCTATCTCATCATCTATATGATATTTTATCCAAGGCATTCCATGTACCAACATATGTAATAAAAAACCATAAAACTGCATTGTTGAAAGACTGTCTTATATAAACTATTAGGAAATTATGTCCTTTTTTGACAGTAATCTTACCTAAAAAATATAATCCTACCTGCATTTAGGAAATTTGATAAAAAGATGTTAAAAATGTGTACGTCCCATTTCCTTAATTAAAGGGATCCTCCCATTTTTTAAAATTTACTATGTGATCTTACCCATCAAATATGTACATTACCTGCATATCCTAACACCAGTAGTGGTGTCCTGGCTGACGTGACATCATCCTCCACTTGTTGCTCTAATGCTGTTGTATCCTGACATTAAATAAAACAAATATAAATATAACATAGACAAAATTATCAGACTTTTTAGATATGATATATGTTAACTTTTTGTGCCATATTGGACTATATTTCTAATCCTTTAATGATAAATATTCAGACACAATAAGACAAAGAACAAAAAACACTGACATCATTTTAAGTATAGTCAACTATTTTTTCATTAACATTATTTTGCATTTACCAGGGGAACATACATTTTAAACACTGATACATGCCATAATTCTATATATAAAATAAATTAAAAAAACCTCCATCTTAACTAAAGTCAATAATTGATTATATTATATTATATTGCATATAAGAAAGAATCTTAAGAAGATATAGTATGATAAAATATCTACAGAACTTTGCTCCCACTTTGAGAGGAAGAAAACTAACAAGTAGCTTGCCAGGTTACGAAGTTGTTTCACTGGTATGTTTCAATAATACTAAATTTCTTTATAACCATAACACAATATCACCTTTTATGGGTTTTGAAGCAATGATGACGCTTAACATCCTTAGAAATATTTAAAAGAATGGCCTAGATGCCCTGATTACTTACCATTTTATGCTGACAGCCTGGTTGTATGCTGCAGGGAATTGTACTGAGACATGAACTGGGCAATCCAAGCTGTAATTAACATATAGGAAAAAATAATTTTTTCAATACATTCATTTAAATTACCAGGTTTATAAATTGATGGAAGAAAACCTAAACAACAAAAAAATTAACTTGTTACCTTTTATTGAAAGCTCTGGGCCATAAATATATAATGTGATATCCTAAATATACATAAAATTATTTATGAAAATTTCTCTGAACACATGCAGTGTCTATAAACAACAAGAAATAAAAGTGCTTTAAGTGCCTATCTAGACATTTAGAATAGCAACAAATAACAAGCAGAACTAGACTTACATCACTGGAGCAAATAAAAAAAATTTATTTTTTGTTCATTCATCACACCTTAAACAAAAATTTTGATATGGCTAATTAAAAAACAGCTACTTAACAAACTCAAAATCTCTTGAAGAGTGAGGCAAGGTTTTATGTGAATCGTATCACCTGTGCACACAGATAATCTCCCATCCCAGCTTTGGCTGCAGAGCTGAGGTATATCACAGGGGGCCTGGAGTATAGGGCTTCATAGCCCTCATCCAAGTATTTGGGAAACTTTTTGTGCAGGGCAAGACGGCACAGCCTGATTAAGCCTTCTCTCTCGTCCTCGTGGTAGAACACTGCTGCATCATCAAATCTAAACATAAAATAAATATTTTAAAAATAAATAAAGACTTTTGTTAAGAGATGCCACTAACTAAGAAACCATTAGATGCAAATGTGGTTGAATCATCAATGGCATACGTATCAATGCAAGTCCCAAATGTGCTAGTTTGCATTAAGTTGTTTGCTGAGTAATTAAGTAGGCATTGTAAGTAATATAAAGTGCACATAGAAAGCAAAGGATAAAATGAAAAACAAAACTGAGCAAAAAATGTAAAGACCTCACTTTTCTTATCTGTTGAGTACGTATGTGTCTTAATCAAGTGAACTGAATTTCTTTCTTTTTTTTTCACATATACAACTTGTCTGACCCAAATACCCTGACCTCCTCGAACTTAAAGTGATTGAATTATCATCTACTCTGTTATACCATCTGAACTAGGACAAACATAAAAACCATTATCACATAATACACAATACAGTGTATCATGTGAATAAAGCCAGTAGCAAAATGTCACGAGAAAAAGATCAACAAAAGTACACCTCAAAAGACTTAAATGATGGCATATATGCAACAGACACCTGTAACACTGACTTGAATGCATTAAAAAATTGATCTCTATTTCACAGAATATGACCTTATTCATCTATATATCAGCTGTATAACCTGGTTAAATATTAATGGTGTCTAGTCAAGTTAACTACAAAGTAGGTTCTATCTATACAGACTTCTGCGCTTATGTACATAATTCTAAATCCTTCACATACAGTGTTTCAGCAGACTTTGTGATATAGATTTCTGACCCCATATATAACCAAATTACATTACTAGCAATTATAGTGACAGTAAAACAAGGCTTCAGAAATCTATATCACAAAGTCTGCTGAAACACTGTATGTGAAGCCATGGCAATTAAACACAACATGCAGCCTTATTTTTGGACAGGCAGGCCATAATAGTAACTCCAACACCTCTGCATTTGCATACTAGCAGGCAGATACATCTCCACAGGATCATTAAAGACATGCTAATTACTCAATCTTTTCAATGTGGGGAAATTCTTTAAATTAAAACATTCCTATTGAGTGGTGACAATAAAATTAATAAGCAGGCTATTTTGTAGTTTTATTCTATGCAGTAAAAGTACCACAAATGCAACACAGAAATATCATCCTGTGATTACAAAATTATGTATCTGAAAGTTTGATCATTTTTCCTATTGAAAACATTGAGTCATTATGGTAACTGTACTAACCTGAACATCCGTGAGAGCCACAGGGAAGTGTCCTCTACTATATTATTGGTGAAATGTTTTAAATGAGAGGGTTCAAGCAGAGAGACGTATGCTGACAAGCCATGCGACAGGATGGCCACCTCTGCATTTTCATCCAGTAATCTTAACTTTGCAGGTCTGAAAATATGAAAGAAATAATGTGCTTCCAACTGAAACATTATATGCCATCATATTTTACCTGCTTGAAATTGTTTCTCAAACTGTTTCTAAGACTAGGACAGTGTTTCTAAAAGTATCATGTAAAAACAAATTCAGCTTCATTTACAAAATGATCATGGTATTACTTACATTAATTTTTGTTCTTCTAGGCCATCCACATAATTTTCATAAACCATAAGGTCTTCCAAATGTTTAATTATGTCTTCCAAATTTTGTCCACTAAAATAACAGATAAAAAACACTTTTATCTGACAGAACATAGCATCAAACATGAAACTGATAATTGTAGCATGGTTCTAAATTAAAATTTTAATCTTAAAATGTCCTTTTTAGGCAATTTTTAGAAATTTAGTCAATTCTTTGTAAAGTTATAATTGTTTTTAGGCAAATTTTAGAAAGTTAGTCAATTCTAAGATCTTACTGTCCCTTCAGTGGCTCTGGAATGTGTTCACTTAATCTTAATTTTCTTTCTGCTTCTTTTTCCTCTCTCCACTTCCTGCACAATAAAAAAAAAATATGCACTTCAATGAAGGGAAACTAGATAACTCTTTATAAAGTTGACCAATATTTGGAAAATGAGAATCCAAGTAAGGAATGCTACTATGTGAAAGTTTATTTTCTTCTGCCTCTCATATATTAGGCGCCAAATTGGAATTAATGTCAAATTTGAAAACTTTCATGGTGCCATGCACATACAAGCTGTTGAACCTATACATGTACTGTACAATCACATTATTACCAAAATGCTATATAAAATATGATTGAGCTCAATGAAATTCAATTCAAACATATGCACTGCCTATCACCAGATGGCTTGGCTTTAAAAAATCAGTTTGGCTAAGGACAATAATATGCCCAGTGAATTCAATAATCTAACTCATAATAGCATGCATTCCAAATCTTGCTTACCTATTCATTTCATCCATGACTCTGTTATTCTCTTGTATTTTCCTTTCCAGCTCAGCTAACATGGGATTCATCCATACCTGAGGGGGGAATTGTACAAATTTACTGCAGTTTATATATATACACTGTACTTCATTATAAACGGGATGTAAGGGCTATAAAATTAATGATCCACCTCGTGACCTGGTGATAAACATATATAGCACTACATGTAATCAAGCTAACATTTTTTGTTTAACTGCATAATATAAAATGTAAAAAATAATAAGCATTAATATTTTTTTGTTTTACGTTTCATATCCCAATGAAATGTCTAATTACACTTGAGCCAAAGTGCCTGTCTGTCACGTGATATAATAATAGCAGTTCGAGATAAAAAGCCCTTTTTTGTCTCCTCATTTTTGCAGTGATTAAAATTGTTTGAATGGCAATAATAAAAAAATAAAATAAAACAACTAAACTAAAAAAAAAAAACTTTACCAAAGCACTACAATACAGTTACTGTATCTTTATTGTCCTCAATTCATTACTTTCGATTTTATCTCCATAAAATATTTATGTGACATTACATATAATACAGATGAGATTTTCACTTTCAATATCAACAACTTTGCAAAGCATTTAAAAATCTTTTATATTATATACTTTTTACAAGGGGAAGGGAACAAAAAATAATCTGGTCCCTCCTTCTGAGATCCTTGATAAGCAGTTGTTTGTAAAAAATGCAAGAGAGAGATGAAATATCGAAGTAAGGAAAAAAATGGACAAAGATCAAGTTGACATTGGCACTATGAAGAAAGGGTAAAAATGCTTGAATGGCTATCATCATCTTCTCAACATCTGTATCATGGATTATTCCAATTTGACATTCATGTAATTTTTTTAATTTTAAATCTTAATAATAAAGGTGGGAAATATGGAGCCTTGGCAGTTGACTACCTCCAGTCTATAGTATCTGGCCACAACAAAGCCTAATGAGAACAGTTTCTAAAAACTAACACTGAGTCATGCACATTCTTGCACTCCCTTTCGTCTAAGCTTTATCGTGGTGTAATCTGCGTTATAATATTGACCAAAAGTTGTAAAAAACCTAAAAAGATATTTTCCCATTTGCGTGTCATTTTCAGATTTACTCTCATTAATCTCTTTGGAAATTAGCGCATCTCATTCAGTTTCATTATCATTTTATCAAATGGATGCAGAACTTCGAGATGATCTTCGAAGCTTTAGTTACCTGAATACCCCTACATGTACATGTACGACATTGACATGCATAAATCACGCGTGCCGCAAGACCCAAATTTACAAAAGTTTTTTTCGACTTCATGTCAAACAACCTGTGCTTTTCTCTTACCCTTCTTAAATCTCTCGCCATTTGTGAATCATCCTCTTTGGTCTTAGCCTTTGGGTTATCACCGCCCCTGGGAGTCGTTGGTTTGGAAGAACTTTGGCTTCTCGGTGATTTAGCTGTTGTTTTATTTCTTGGACTTTTGGGACCATTTTTTGACATCAACTACTTTTACGTCCTCGACGCTCTTGATGCTTTCCTCTCCACCGCTATCCTGAGCGCCGCCTTCCAACCCGAGTTTCAAAAGAGGTTTGTTTTCGTCGGCCATTTTTCTCTGGTTACACGTCGGAGTGCCACCAGAGGGTACGTTCAGTTTGACGACAACGCAAAATTGTCTTTTTTACTGTAGTTTTATTGTTTTTCTTATCTCAAAGGTAGAACATTTTCACTTTCTATCATTTATATACCACATTTGTAACTAAATCGTTCACCCTTCCACTAGAAAGTTATGTCGTTAAAATATCAAACGCTTCTGCGGTAAAATGAAAATTCGCAAGGAATGGTGGAATCAACAGGTAGATTCCGTGGTAAGTTCTGGGGGTTTGATTATGGCAAAGTTCATGAAATGATAATTATGAAATTAATAGGCCCTTAAAATGCAAGAGAAGGATACTGGAGAATTCAGATGACACCAACACATACAGAACATTTAGTGTCAAGTGACCGTATTGCCGCCGACTGTAAATTAATAGATCTATCAATTTGATATTCATACTACGGAGCAAAGGCTGTACATTACAAAGATTCATTTAAGTTGACAGTGGCAGTTGTCGTCACTGCCTGTAAAAAGTCCGAATGATGTATTTTGCCTAGCATCTCAACCTTTATGTAGCTGCATAATTCGCCCCGAATTAAATCGAGGATAAGATTTTAATTAAAATAATGATTTTTTTTTATCCTTTAAAAAAAAATAACAGGTAACTAACTGTTAAGTACTAGCAACAGTTTATTGCCATAAGAACTTAATGTAAAACAAAAGGCCATTTATTTTGTCCCTTTAATAGTTTATTTTGTGACGTGGCTTCAGTCATATGATATTGTATTACCTGAAGGTGAATAAACACAGTCACCTGAATACACTCATACATTGCAGTTGACAGTGACATGAGTCCAATGCTGGACTATTATTTTCTGGTCTAGTGCCTCTAGTGCATGAAACCCAACAATAGGACATATAGCTATGCATTGTTGTTCTTGTTTGGTTAGAAATACAGCTTTCAAAGCAAGGGTAGAGAATTACTAGTACTATGTAATAATATGTTAAAGAGATACATGTTATATTCTAGACATTATGTTCAGGTAGTCTTATTCAAAGCTGTCAACTTAATTTTGTGGTGGTGCCCATTTAACTTTGTGAATTATTTTGTATGTTCTCTTTTTCCCCCAGTAACTACATATATGCATTTCCTTAGTTTTTAAGTTATGTATTTGAAATACTTAACATCTTTTTAAATTAAGGTTTATTTATATTTATCATGATGATTTGCTGTATTGAATAACTAATTCCATTTAGTACTCAGAGTATTCAATAATGCTGTAAAATAAAACTGAAATTCATTCTTTTTTTAATTTCAGATATGCCCCTTTAATAGACAGAAGGTTTAAAGGAATCATCTGAGACAGAACGTAAGGTCCATGGGGAAATCAAGCAAAAAGAAAAGCAGTATGGCAAAGAAAGGGAATACTAAACAAAAGAGACTTGTCAATGCCTTTGAAGTTGTGAACATCACAAAGTCCTTGGTCATCACAGACTTCTTTCATTTTTTCTATGCTGGTGGTAAAGTTTGCCTTCTGCCATTTCTGACTTTATTTTTCCGTCAGTTGGGATTGAGTGCGACACAGGCTGGGATAATATGTGCAGCCAAGGCATTGGTGGGCTTGGTAAGCACACCACTGTGGTCTGCTTGTTCGACTAAGTGCAATGTGAGGAGAGTGACATTGATGAGCTCCATATTTGTGATGATTGCAATATACCTGGCTTTGACTTTGGTGCCACCTGTGAACCAGCCTGGCAAGGAGTCCCTCATGTTCTGCTCTCAAAACCAAGCCAACCAAAACTCGGGACACAACCCACAGACATCTAACAAGACTGTTGTTCATGTGACTCTACCTAAGATGCCTTCAACTGTGACAACAGTATTTATTTCTACAACAGCAACAACATTATCAGACAAAGAAATGGCAACTAATTCATCCCAGAGTAAGCAGAAGGAAGGTTCTACACCACCATCACCAAGCGTAAGTCCTTCAAGTTCTGCCAGTCCTGCAGCTGAAACAACAGCAGCTGCTGGAAAAACAACAACTGGGTCAGAAAATAATGAAGCTTCTGGTTCAGGCTCTGACAATACTAAAACTGTTTCCTCAGCTCACTCCAACTTGGCCGAAACAACACCATGGTTTTCCTCTACTGGATTTGTTTCATCAACATTTTCTGTTTCCCAGGGTCTCCTGTCAACCACAAGCCCAGCATCTGACATTGAAGTTGGTGAAAGGAAGCCTGACGTCCACTTGTCAAAGGCACAGATAAAGATGTTGATCAGGCAACTTGGACTTACAAGAGAGGACTTGATAAGTATGACCAATAAAGAACTTAAAGTCTTATTGACAGAAAGGTTAAAGGAGTTAACTGCGCTTAAAAAAGCAGGGAACAAGCATGGTGAGTGGAATTCAAATCTAGAGGAAGGGGAATCTTTTGGAAGAAACCCATATGACCAATTTGAGAGAAACAGTTTTCAGGGTAGGATTAATAGACACACTGTACACAAGAGGTATGCCAATGAAACTAAGGGACTGCTGGATAAGTTGAAAGACCTGAAAGAAAAACTGTCTGCCAGTGAATATTACAGTAAATACAAGACTTTCCTGGTAATTATGTTTGTTCTTCTTCTTGGAGAATTCTTTGCGGCTCCAACTGAGAAAATAGCAGATGATGCCTGGTATGACTTTCTGGAGAATGTTGATGATGTGGAGAAATACGGCCAACAGGGATTCTGGGCTCTCTTAGCTACTGATATTTTTGCTGTGGTCATAGCACTTATTGTGGACAACACTGACTGTGTCCTGAGCCTGAACATCAACCACTTCATGATCCACTTCTACATGTTTGCTGGCCTCATGACTCTGAGCCTGCTGGTTGGTTTCTGCTACCCTCTGACAGGCAAGTGTAAGAGTAAACCCAGGAGAGGTGCTGTGATGAAGACTGTGAGACTTCTCTGCTGTGACCTGAGGTGTTTCACCTTTGCGGTCTCCACTCTGGTCATGGGGATCATCCGAGGCAGTCTCTTCAGCTTTCTTTTCTGGCAGATTGAAGACCTGGGTGGTACGGAGATAGTCATGGGTCTCACCATCACTGTGGCAGCATGCGCAGAGATTCCAATGTTCTTCATGGGTGGGTGGCTTGCCCGTAAGATCAGCAGCACTGTTTTGGTAGGCACAGCCCTGGTGGCCCAGGCAGGGCAGTTGGTCTATTTCTCCTTCCTGTGGAGTCCCTGGGCTGCTGTTCCCATACATGTTCTCAATATGTTTACAAGCACTGGCTTTTGGAAGGCAATGGAAACGCACCAAGACTTTTCCACCAGCCACCACGCAGGAATAGGAAGGACAGTCAAGACGTTCTTGAATGCTATATACAATTGCCTCGGATTTGCCATTGGGTGTGGCCTTTCAGGGTGGCTGTATGATCAGTTTGGCATTGCCATTTTGTTTAGAGGGGCAGCAGTGCTGTGTGGAGCTTGGTTTTTGCTGTTCCTTCTGCTGCAGAAGTGTGTTCCCAAAAAAGAGAGAGTAGAGTACATCAAACTACTAAATGCTGATGATGACACATTCAGTGATTCCTCAGATAACTTGTATGAAGATGACTGGTTAAAAAATGCCATGAAAGAAGCATGAGATTGGAAAAAAATAGTCATATATCTCAGCATGCAGTTGATGTGGCATTAAAACATTCTTTTGAATGAAAACTTACAGTGTATTCTATAGGACATTAAGATACAGCTGCCTTTTGTATAAACCATGAAATATGCCTTACCTTACTTGTCAAATTATGCAATTATAGCAAATTTTAACATATTTTTTCATATTTTACTCAGACAAGTTTGTCTTCCAAATTTACATTTACAGTATATATTCCATTTATTGCTGCTGCAATTTTAAATGAAAAAGAAAAAATGATGCACGATTATCAGCTCCCTTCCCCTTGTTCTGCATTTTCAGGTGCATAATTGATATTACATAAAATTGGTGGTGCTTCCTTATATTACAATCAGCACAATATCTCTTCCATAGAACCTGGCTGTTGGTGGGTGCAAACAGTTTCCAGCAAATACACAGACTTCAGCATTATCTGGTTGTGATTGTTGGGTTGATGTTCTTTTTAAACCATTCCAGTTTTATATTGGTTGGGTGGATATAAGGGTTCTTTATTGGTTCTTTACAGGGTTGTTGTACGTAAGAATGATTTATACTCCTACATCAATATGCATGTTACAATATGCAATTTAGAAGCTTTACAGTTGCCAGTGCTTGTTCATTATGTATCAATTTCTGAAGAAAGAAAATTTCCACTTTTCATTATTATTATAATTAATGCCTTTATAATTTTTTGTTGTTGTTGTTTTTATAGTATGATTTAGTATAAAACTTTAATTTGTATTTGATTTCATTTTTGTTACACATTCCTTAAATTAAAAAACAAATTGAAACTTACAGAAATTTTACCATATTCTTAATAGTCTATTTGGTCATTTTCCATAAGAAATAAGACTTAAAGATGAATATATTATCAACAAGTTGTTATGTATTTTGGCAATAAAATCAGTGAGAAGTCTCTATCTGCTTGGGTCTTACCATCTGTATTGAGGCAGGAATATCATATGTCCATAAGATTTTTTCCTCTGTGAAACCTTTAAATAGCTTGATGATTAATTTTCACGATGAAATAACTGCAGTCTTTCCTGTCTAGTTTTATATGGGCATTAAAGATGGTTTAATTCCAGCGTATTGAAGCTTTGGACTTTCAAATTAATTTGACTTGCAAATCCATATTGGAATTTAATATATAACATAGGTTTATTTATGTCTTTTTACAGTTCAAATGTGAATGCAGTTGTGTTTACTCTGTTGTTGTGTTATTTTAATAAGTTAATTATGTTAAAATCTCTTATGTCTAAGTTTGAATTGGTTAATCAAAATGGTATGAATACCTGTCTCAAATATTATTTTTTTTCTTGAGAAACAGTTATACAGAGTAAGCATGGTAATAAGAAACAGTTAAAGTATATGCATTGTTGGAAAAGAAACTACACATATTGGACATTCATGGGTGTCTGATAATTTAGTTTATTTGCTACATTTTGCTGTAAGCATGCATCTGTTTTTGAAGAATCATTTTGCTTGTGTTGACTTATAGGAGTAAACTTTCAGAGTCATTGGAGGTATGAAAGAATGTGTGGGGAAATAGTCTGTATTTGTTACAATTTTTTTTTATTTCAGTTGTCATTTTTTTGTTTTTCCTTGTTGAAGTTCTCAAAAACTTGTTTTGTATGTCCCTTGTCTCATGAACAACTAAATATTATGTTAACCTTACTGATATTGGTGATGGTGAAAAATAAAGGTACCTTATGACTTCATTCATAACTGTTTGCCTGCAGTTCTGAATTCATTTTTCTCTGAAACTCACCATGTTGGAATGAAACATTTTGCATTTATTTTAATAGTGACTTGTCCAGATTTAGCACTTACATGCACTAAGTAGGTCTGAAAATTTTAAACTCTGTGTATGGTATCTGATACTGACACTGAAACTGATATGCTTTTTTCTCTCCCCCCACCTCCATATAGTTACTGGAGAGCCGAGAGTCGATATCAGGCAGCAGAAGGGAGGTCTGTGTTTTACGCAGTGATCATGAGATAGTGAACCAGCATTATCTTCCAGACAACAATTTTTTTTACTGAGAACTGGTGAGAAGGGATGGTACAAATGCTTTGTTAAGATGTCTCAGATGAAATGTTATTCACCAGTATTAGTTGGAAATTGATTTTATTTTTTATTATGGCTGGTAAGGACAATATTTGGATATTTTCGTCATTTTTATTGATTTGAAAAAGAAATTTGTAATTCAGGACTATGCATAAATAATGACGTTTATAGTGCCCTACAGGCATAATGATCAAGGCTGCATAAACGAGCCAGCTTTTATATGATAAAAATTGCCAGTATGAGCAAGGAGCTGTATGTATTGTATGAGATTATCAGCTTTGTGGTTTATTCTAAGTACTTGCAGACATGGTTTGTTGTAAACTGAAAATAATGAAAAATGCATTATCAATGAAGAAACAACGGGCAATTCATCTGCTTCAAATCATGTTGCTTGGATGGGTATGTTTCACATTTACATGCTTTCAAGGTCCAGCCGTTACTTCTGGGCGACGTAGGATGTTGATCAACTCGACTAAGAGGGTTGCAGCTACTAGTACTACCGAATCCTCAGCGTGTATTGTGCCGGAGCCTATATGTGCCATGAAACAAGACAAAGCACATCTGTGGTATCACATCAGAAGGTATGGGTACACCATCAATATTCCCCGTGCTTGTAAAACCGATAAAGGCAGGCTATTTCTTCTTGTTTTTGTTATTTCGGATCCAAACGATTTTAAAGGAAGGGCACTTTTTCGTCGCTTCTGTGGAAATATAAAGGAATTTGAAAAGAAAGAAATCAAAACTTTCTTTTTTGTCGGGCAGGCGATAACGGGGACAGAAACGCGTGGTCACTACAACATAACAGATGAAAGCAAAATGTTTGGTGATATAATTCAAGCGGATTTTATAGATTCGTATCAGAATATTACATTGAAAACTATCCTGGCGTTCCGTTGGATAACTCAGTTTTGCCCAAGTGCTCAATACATTTTACGCTGTGGACACGATGTGTTTATAAACTATGAAGAAGTTGTAAAATATCTGTGCAATATTTCCGCAACAGGTTTGACGTCAAAACTTTTCACAGGAGACCGTCATAGTGCGCTCTCTCGTGTCTGGCGAAATCCTGACAGTAAATATCACCAGACACTCGAGCAGTACAGTGCAGAGAGATTCCCAGCTTTCATATCAGGTTGGGCGTCTATTTTTACCTTTGATGTTGTCTACCTGCTTCACTGGGCCTCTTCTGGAAAACATTTGTTCATAGAAGACGTCTTCATGTCCACGATAGCACAAGAACATAACATAACTCTTCTTCACAACAGACATTTCTTACAGTGGAGCGAAAGATGGCCCAAGGCAACTGGTGAACTAGTTCGTCGGCTCAAATGCCGTCTGAGACGTGCGTTGTCTATTCACGGCGCGCCCCAAAATCAAGACTTTTGGAGATTTTTGAACAACACCGTCAAGAGGAAAGACAATGTCTGCAAGTAGTGTATATCATATTATTAGTTATTCTGGTTCACAAATAAACGTCAGTCAACCTCAGTATTGCAAGTGAGTTTGATATTAGAATAAAAACAACCCGAATTGAATTTACAACTGAAAGTTGAAGCTGTTTATCAAGTCCCACGCTTTTCAAAGGGTATAAAAATCCACTCTCAGCCTATGACAGTTATATATAAATTTCGGGTAGTAGTTATTAATGAATATAAGTGAATGGAATAAATAAATTCTATAATCATCTTTTGAATTGACAAAGTTTTTGCTCTCGTCCTTTTGACATCCCGGTGCTGGTCAAAATCTAGGGCGAGGCTCACCTGTACAAATGAATAGGACGCGGACTCCCTGTTATGGGGGACTCTCTGTCACGTTACACCGGTTCCACTAGCACTTATTTTACGGGTAGGGAAGCGTGTTGGTTTATGTAACTTTTAAAACTCATGCACAGTCCGTACGTACCATAAACGTACCGTTGACAAGCGGATATGAATTTAATATAAACATTCTCCTGAAGCAAATATTGTATATAAAACTTACAGGAACGACAACTCTTCATATAAGATTGAAATTTCACAATAATTACATATAGTAAACAACAGATAAAATGTAATAAATTGCATTTAACCATCCAAACGGCGGTTAATCGCAATATCCGGACATTGCGAGAAAGTGGACCGTCATTGATTGCTACCCTCCCTAATAATCACTAAGGAAGAAGCTTCATTTGATAAAAAGGAAGGTTGAAGTCAAAAATCTGCATGATCAGATTATTTTTCGATTATTTTACAAAAGTTGTTGGAATTTTGCCATGTATTTTGCGACGTTCGCCCCTTAAGTACCGAACCATATTTTTCGTTGTTGTTATTATTTTAATTTAACTAAAAAGCTTTCTTGAGAAAAAAGGAAGGCTGACTTCGAAATTCAGCATGGGCAGACTACTTTTACGAATTTTTAATTTTGTAAAAGTACTTATTCATTTAGTTATTTATAGATGTTCTCCCCACAGCTGACCTCACAAGTGCCAAACCACATTTTTGATTTAATTCAAATATGTTAGAAAGTTGTTCAGTGAAAAAGCAGGTTTAGTTCGAAAATCAACATGAACATTATTTAAAATTTTCACGAAAGTTCTCCTAGGCCTATCTTGCTAACATGTTTGTTGCATCGATGCATATAGAATTACAGTTTTCACTAAGTCTAGCAGACCATGCATTTTACTGTAGGTTGTCATTTTTGATAGAGACAACAATTCTTTGGTAGAGCAAAGCACTTGTTGGTGGCCTGTGATGGATCCTGATGATGAGGTCCTCTCTGATGTACATTTATATTGTAAAACAACTGCAAATGGGACACAGGGAAAGTACAAACGTAAGTTGACTGTTCGCCACCGTGCCTCAGTTTTCGGTCGGTCCCTCATCCCTAACTTAAATTTTCTGTAGGAGTCCTCACCATAGGAATCCTATAGGAAATTGGCCCAAAATCCAATATAGTCTTATAGGACATATGTCCTACTAGTAGATAGGAATCCTATAGAAAACTGACAGGGCGTCTGAAAATGATATACATATACAAGGCACATAGAATAATTAATTCATATTGACTCTGGCCCATAACGCCCTGTACTTTAGGATTCCTTTGCTACAGAGTCCCATAGAGTCCTATAAGACTCCTATAGGAAATTTTGGAAAGGATAATAGCCCAACACTGCTGTAAATAATTAAAATCACAAGAAAAGAGTATTTAAGTGGTTTGCATGGCTTAAGGATATGTATAAAATCTAGGGGAGGGGGGGGAGGCAAAAGGAGGGGACACAAGGTGGGATGACAGCTTTTGAACTATGTAATTCATTTCTTATAATCTAATAGAGGGGGGGGTCATTTTTTTAGGTAGAGTATAATGTATTGGCGAGGTAAATACAAAAATAAATGTATTAGTTCCTTTCTTTACCTTTTTTAGCATGTGCCAATGTATAGCATTTATAGATAGGTACATGAACACAGTAGGTTTAATTCTGAAGAATAGCATGCAGCTAGTAAATCACCTCTTTTGGAGCTCTAAAATTTTTGTCTAGTCACACACTGCTAGAAAAATTTAGTCAATCAATGATGCCGTCAATAACTGCTATGAATAAGGTAATATTTATCTGCTAGTCTGCCAACTATGCTGCTGTGAAATCATGAGCCTGTGCAGACCACCATCAACTGACTTAATTCTGAATCTGTGATTAAGAGAAAATATTGATATGAGTAGTAATTTTCATCCATTGTTATTATTATTATTATTATTATTATTATCAGTGTATGAAATTCAAGGAAATTACTAACCAGACCGCCGGGCAGGTAACTCTAAAAAGTTACCAGCCCGGCCATGTAGTTACCTGCCCTATTTATGATAACCCCTAGAGTTAAGAGAGGTATGCTGAGGGGGTCTAGAATGCATTCTTGGGAGAGTAATTTGGAAATGAAAGGGCAATATCATGCCTTATGCATGGAAATTTAGAAATTGTTTGGAATTTCTACTGAATGATACCTTGTCAGTGTTGGATTTAGAGGGGGTCAAGGGGCTCCTGACGCCCCCCTTTTAATTTCTGTAAAAAAAAACTCACCTCTTGAAATAAGATTTTCACTAGTTGAATCATAGTTCTAAACCATACCAAATGGCACCATTCACCATCTAAAATACCAAAAATTTTCAGGGCCCTTTAGCAGTCGGGGAGGGCGGGGGTAGTCAATTCAGTTTATGTTCACCTTGCAGACTGTCTCATTTTTTCGTCAATAATTTATTCATAACTTTTATTCCGATTTCGTGATATAATTTGATCATAATTTTTGCTTTTTTGTATAGCAACAAGTATGACCAAAAATATATATATTGTTGTCAAATAAATCGATCTCTGTGCTAACAATAAAGAAGAAAAAATTTAGCACGTAGGGTCCCTTTGAATATCGCTTTTAAGCTTTAAAAAGCGGTCGGGAACGGTCCTGCACGCTAATGGCCCATAGACAGTCCTGCAGGGCCCCGTATCTCGAAAGCATTGCTTATTGAGAATAGCTATATATCACATAGAGGCTACAATATCATTTTTATATGGGGCGAGTATGGATGAGTTATTGGATCGAGATGCTTGCGCTCGGTCGCAATGCGTGATACTTTCGAGTTACGGTTTTACGAAAAAAAATGTTGCCTCTCGACTAATTGCAAATCGAAGTCACCTTTCTATTGGTCCCAATTTGTTCTCTTTCGTTTGGTTCTGTCGTAATCTTTGTTAGTTTTATTTCTTTCCTCAATTGTTTTTCTTTTATGAACTTCTCTATCGGACTTGATAGAATTTTTTCATTTTTGACAGCCCAAGATGAAAGCACGTGGGAAAAGAACTACATCTGACGCACGGCGTAAACTCGTACGTTCACTCATAATTTTGGGATTCAAATTTTTTGTAAAATTCTCCTTTTATTTGCCTCCATTGCCTTTATTACTGAATTTAAGCACTTCATGTACCTGTAAGTCGATTTAATCAATATCATAACTTTTTATACTTTCACATTTTTATTACTCTCAACCTACAAATTGCTACTCGCGGTATCTCCTCTACACAAAACAATGACGTAACGTTATCTGCTGTGCACTGAAGCTGGTTAAGAACATTGTGCCTCGTTTCAAATTGTCTTTCAACTTCATATCACACAGACAGAACTTCGAAAACGAGGCCACTGAGAGGGAGACTGTTGGTTACATTTCGATACGAGCGTTCGATTGCAAGCTATGGTTAGTTCTTTGCTTCTATGAAAGTGGGTGAAAACAGTGAGTTTATTTGATATTTTGCTGAAATCGCTTGTGAACAAAGACAAAATAAAAGGTGAAAATAGGCTGTAAAAACAGCCAGCCCGTCGGGCGGGTAATCTGCAAATCTTACCCGCCCGGCCTGAAAGTTACCAGCCTCGGGCTGGCGGGCAGGCGGCCATTTCATACACTGTTATTATTATTATTATTATTATTATTTCAGTTTTGAAGAGTAGATTTCTTTTTAAAATTCCCAAGAAGGCTGTTGAAGATGTGATACCAACGGAGATCTTAAGCAGTGAACAAGTGCCCTTTGTTACTGGACTGGATGAACACAAGTGTCCAGTTGTGTCCAGTTCTAGTGACAGTGAAGGGCTTGTCTTAGATGAGGATGGGGATGTTGTTGTGTCCAGGCATAAAGACATAGAAGAAGAGCAAGATGTCATATACATAGGTATACAGTTTGGATCAGCAGAATGCTTTCCTGTGTGTAATGCATGACATATAGGCGTTGACTTGCATTGATCGTCATCAAATTATGAATCTATGTGAATAAAATGCTGAGTAATTATTGTACTTTGTACTCAATGATCATTTACTCAGACAATGTATCAGAAATATTATATGCAATTTTAAAGATCAAGATCAGTTTTGTTCTAAGGAGTGAATAACATAGTTTATGTTCCATTCCAGAGCATGCAATGGCCACAAAACTGTCTGATGTGGGATTACAGGTAAGTGTTGCTTATTGATGAGGTATAGTTCTACTCATATCATGTTTTACAAAATGAATTCATTCATCTAGAAATGTTGCTTGTTGGAAGTCTTAGATTTATGAGAAGAATGAGTCTTGTTGCTTTTGCAGTGTTTTGTTGATATCTTAAATAGATTTTTTAACAATAGAAATTAAGATCATACTTTTTCTTCAAAAGTTTGTCAGCTACACTTGAATGTAATGTGCATTATGTTAGCTTGTTGTTTACCAGTATTTTCAGCTTATTCTACTTCAGTCACTGATCTCGTCTTTTGACAAATGGTTTGATTTAAAACGAGAAAAAATAAAGCTCAACAGTCAAGACAAAAAAGCTTATTATTCAACCTACACTCAATCCATCTTCCCTTACAGGTATGGAGAGGAGCTTTATTGCTGTGTGATTTCATACTGTCCCAGAGGTCAGAGTTCATTGACAAAGTTGTACTGGAGCTTGGGTCTGGGGCAGGTCTAGCCAGCATACTGCTGAGCGCGGTGGCACAGACTGTATATGCAACAGGTAGATGTATGCAACTGGTAGGACTTACCATATAGAGCTTTTCAGACTGCTGATTGCCCTTGGTTTATGTAGTGTAAAGCAACCTGTAAATTGGTTGGTTCCATAGCAAAATTTTTATGTTGCACGGTCTGATTTTGAACAGTAGTTTCAGGCCTGCTAACTAACAAAAAGTGCCAATGTATCCTCAGTTATGCATACTACAAGATAAAAGTCATATATTCAAATAAAATAAGATTTTTGAAGTTTTGTGGATGGGTGGGTGGGGGTAGTCAAAATTTCATGCCGGGAATCATATTTTTATTATGAAATTTTGACTCCAGGAGTCAGATTTTCATGGGAGTCAGATTTTCATGTTACAATGCAAGTTGTCAATCTGGACACTTGATGTCTCTTACAGATACTGGTGATGAAGTCTTAGCACTGTGTAAGAAGAATTGTGAACTTAACAAAAATATATCATGTCACCAGAATGCAATCAATGTCAGAGAACTGGACTGGTTTGAGGACAATTTCTGTCAAGGTGTGTTTATGAATTGTACTTATAGCAGACAGTTAAACAGAAAATTTTATAAATTTTTTAGTACAACTGACAACTGTAGAACACATCTGTAATGAATGAAGCATTATTGGAGGTAACATTCAATTACATCATGTTTTGTATTCTCTTTTTGAAAATCTTGTATGGATTGTTATTTTTTTAATTTTATTACTTCATCGTTTTTTTTTTTCAGTTTATAAATTGGCTGAGAGTTTTTGTGTCCCGTAGATAATGTGTTACTCTATAGTGTATCACAGGTGATGTGAATCCAAAGTCATTGTGTATTTGTTCACCAGTATTAACAAACTTGTAGTGTAAAAAAAATTATTTGGCTTTACTAGAAAGTATATTGCAGTGCCCAAGGACACAGTCACTTGAGACGTTTTCAATTTCGCAACCGCTGGTCGTGCTAGGAGTCTTAGAGACCATTCCCACAGATATTTGAATCGATCTATCTCCCTGGGGAGTCTCACTAAATTGCTATCAAGCTAACTGGCTTAAACGTCTGTCACGCCTAGTAAACTGTTAGGGAGTAATTATCTTTACCCCTAGCTGATTCGTAAAGCGTGACAGACATTTAAGCCTCTTGAGCTGATAGCAATTAAGCTTGAGCCCCCAGGGAGTTAGGTCGATCCAGATGGATCGATCTAAGTATGGGAACCCAGTCTTACACCTACACTCACCATGTAACCACAAAGAACGTGTTTCCCAATTTGCAATGAATGAGCCATTTCTTTTGGTTTCAGATCCCAAGAATCCATTTCATTGGTTAGCTGAAGACATTTGCAGATTGAAGAGGAATATAATTCTAGTGGCGGCAGATGGTAAGTTGTCCTCCTGTGAGTGGGTAACCCATTATCTACAGCACAAGACAGTACACTAGTACAAGAATGCATGTTAGGTAGGCATTTTCTGCAGGTGCCTGACCAAATACTTCTTTCTTCATTGCAGAATAAAATTTTGACATAGTTTTTTTTAATCTTTTTGTTTGGAATCCTCATGTTAAACCTACAAGGCTTTGCCAACTGCTTTAATTTATTAGTTTATTTAATTTTTTAAATCTCATTTGGTTCTATATTATATTGTAATAGGCCATATTGCTTAAAACCATTTTGCGGTTTTAATTTCAGTGATCTATGATGAGGATCTGACAGAAGCTTTCTTCAGGAGAGTGCACAGAATAATGAGTGTGCCACCCAGGAAGAAGCTGTATATTTCATTAGAAAAAAGGTAAAGATATACAGCAACATGACAGTGATAACTATAAGTAGTTTAAGCTATCATGATGTATTCATGAGAAATGGTAATGAAATATGGCAAACAACTTATTGTTGATATGGTGTACAAGTATGTTCTTTTGATCACTGACTCTTATAATGAATATTATTGATTACAGATTAAGTAACTGATCATTGCTTACGTAGTTTCGTATTTTTTACTTTTTAGACTCAATTTCACCCTGTCAGATCTGGATGTGGCTTGTCCTGCATATGATCACTTTCAGCAGTGCCTCTCGGAGCTGACAGTGTTCAGAGAAGACAATGGTGTGACGTACACAGTGGAACAAGTGCCCTCAACCTTTCCACAGTATTTCAAATATGACAGGACAAAATATTTGGTACATCCAGCTTGACACTAAATCATTCTACATGTTAGTTATAGTTATTATAAGGTGAAATGTTTGGTAAATATGGTTTGACACTTAATCATAATAGTTTAATAGTGAAAGGTGAAATATTTGGTACTTATAGTTGGATGCTAAACCATTATAGTAATAGTGAAAGGCGAAATATTTGATAAATATGGTTGGATGCTGAAGCATTATAGTTATAATGAAAGTGAAATTTATGGAATGTTAGGGTGTTGGTAAAACGTTTTTGGATGGTTCTTTCTTTCAAGGCAATGGGATTAAACCTGTTTGACATAAACATTTTTATTGTTAAAAAATATGCAATATGTGTATTCAGCCATTTTTTTAAAAATAGGAACTATGGCTAATTACCTCCAGTTTTGAAAAATGAATGGATTGCAAAAGAAACAAAGGTGGCAGCACAGGAACAAGTAAATCAGGTATGTTGTTCATTCCAAGAAAATGTGAAAAGATATTTTCTCCACCTCTGAACTTTTTATGGCAATATATCAAGGGGATATGTCTGTATATCTCCTTGATTACATCTTATTATTTCAATGAATAATGCCATTTTTATCACTTTCACTGATTTTTTAGTGAAAATACTTATTTTAACTAATGAAACAAAAATGTTCTGAATAAAAATAATTTTGTGAAATTATCAATTGGTATTGGTTTGCAGAAAGTTTATGGGAGCATTCACATTGAGAAGAGCCGAGGTCTAGCAGGGCTGACCCTAATCCTTTAATGGTCTCTCAGTGACATTCATTGAGAGACTATTAAAGGATTATGCGGTCTTCCTTTCATGTAGGTCCGCCGTGTTTAGGTCTTGGCCTTGCTAGACTTGGGCTCTTCTCAATGTGAATGCTCTCTATGGTAATGACTCCAACTTTTCAATGGGAATATTGTGAATTTTACAGATTTCTATTTTTAAGTCAAAAATTCTTTAAATTAAAATATTCCTGTTGAGTGGTAGCAACAAAATTGAAAAACGGGCTACCCTGTAGTTCTATTATACAGCTAAAGCATTCAAATGCTATACATAATTATTATTTAAAAAATTGACAATTCTTCCCCATTTAAAATTGAGTCACTGCTGTACTTAAGAATTATAGAAGTGAAATACTTCATTGTTGGGTGGTCAGCAAGCAGACCACAAGCTTGAAACAAGTGATGACAAACTTGAGCTTACAAATAAACAAATGATCATAGTCACCTTTACCACATACTACTGTAGTAGACTATTAAAATTTATCATAATTTAGGAAATTTAGCAATGACAATGTTTCATGTTCTTTGCATTTATTTAGGATCACTGATTGTGGTAGGAAGTTACTGTGGAGCCCAGACTTTGGGAGAATTTCGGCATCAGAATCGTGGAATTTCAAGAAAAACCTGTGGGTTGGTGGTATTTATTATTATTATTAATTTTTTATTATTAGAGTGGTGGTAGTTTTTGTTTTTTTACTATGACCAAATTCAATATGTTAAGCCATTCTTGAGAAAATGATTCTGAAATAAGTATAACGCACGAACCTCTGTAATGAAGCAATAAATCTTTAACTTAAGATGTCAACATATTTCTGGAATCAGTACCAGGAATGGTAGTATGTAAAATATAAAGTTTTTTTTCTTTCAGGTAACCATCAGGACACCACTGGTACAACGTAACTTCTCAGTGACCTGGATATAGCAGTAAAATAGACTTATCATGCAATTTATCAAAGAAACCTGAAAAAAAATGGACCAAAAATCTTCAAGCAAGACTTGTATACACAAATATAAACTGGTCACTATTGTGGTTCATTCACACAGTTAGACAACCGTGGCAAGAAAGCCAAAGAGTAATGTTTAAACAAGATAAAATGCATGATTAAATATGTTATAAAGGTCAACATACAGCAAAAGGCCCTTTTCATTTATATAAAATACCCATTTTGATATAAGTGCAATAAAGATGTAGACCAAAACCTCCTGCACAGAGGATGGAGAAGCGTTTACATCCACTTTTGCTTTGTAAATTAGAGTGAGATAGTGATCGGTCTTCGGTTCTGTACCTAAGACAACGTCATAAAAAATGGCATGGTTGATGACTGGGGTTTGAACTATAATCTGGTGACATCGTTTTTACGTTATTATGCTAAAGAGATAAAACCCCATTCCATTACACAAACGCATTATTTAGCCTCTTTTAAGTTAAAACTGATAAAATCATAAAAAGTCTTTTGCGAAGATTTCTTGGCAACGGATTATATGTTTTGTTTTGACACTTTAATTAAGACATGCATGCCAAAATATGGACCAAATAATGGCAGTGAAGTTTTAGAATCTTGAAGAATGCCAAACTTAAATTTTTACCTTTCATAATCTTTTCTAAGAGAAATGTTTATTATATTAGAAGAGTAATATTGATTATATTCATGAAAAATGAGTTTAATTGAATTTTCTCATAGTTAATGAGTACAGAAAAATCATTTAGCTTTTGTATTCGTTCCCTGAAAAAGATATTTCTGCTGTTATGATGCATTTTGTACGCAGAATGCACAGCTTTGTCAATAGCTTTCACAGTGTAAACAATAAAAATCTGTTATAGATACCCTTTTCATCATCAAGTGTATTAAACCCTATGGTGACTATTAATGGCAAATGGTTACCAAGTCGAGTGGAAGATTAGAGGCAAGGTAGCACTACTTATTAAGTGAACGGGTCCACATCGGATTGCAGACGTCACAGTTATTGAATCTCGTGTTGTAGTGACTGCAGTGGCACTCTAGGTTGAAGGTTTTTGTAAATACAGTTGTTTTGTATACAAGTATATAGACAGACTCTTCTCACTACAGTTGAAACCTTTTATTTTTGCACCGCTTCAGTATACACAGATAGCGTTTTTTTAGTAGAATGGGATGCGACACAACAGCAATGGGCAATGAGAATATATCCACATTTGGTTTGCTTCGGGCGAAGCGTGCACTTGCTTACCTTTTTTGAACTATTAATGAAGTAGCGGAAAAACGGTTTATCAGGAGTGTTATTCTAATTATAAGAGAATTATATATTTCTAGTCATAGATTACAACCTTGCATATTGGATGTAGTTGCCTTTTGCTACGAATATTATGTAGTATAGTAATGAATATTATATAGGATTATATCATATAATAAAATACAGGACCCACACTTTTTTGGTATGAACTATTCTTTGATTTTTGCAATAGAAACTTGTTGAGAATGTTCTCCGATACAGGCCGTCCACTTTTGAGGTTTCTGCTAATGGTAGATTCCTCTGTTTCCGTCTCAGATACTTTTGTAATTGAATGTTTTATCGTGCAGATTGTATTTGATTTGTAAGTTATTGTATCTCTCCTGTGTGGTTTGTTCATGAGCAGTACACTTCTTGTTTGCATTAAATATTGACAGAGATCTTGCACTTATAAGGTTTCTCATCTGTGTTAATTCTTTGTGACAAGAGACTAGCTAGCATGTTGCAGATATGAGGCTTCCAAGGAGGCCACCATCTTCCGAGCATATTACGCAGACCACTGTGTTGTTTTCCTCCTTTTACTTAGTTTCTGAATCTACACAGCTTTGTGTCAGTAATGAACACTTGAAGTTTGCTTTGTATGGTACTTCTGTCAGAATATATATATATATATATATATATATATATATATATATATATATATATATATATATATATATATATATATATATATATATGTGTGTTTGTAACAGCATTTCAGATACAGTAACTTGGCTTTTCGTTCATCTGTTTGACATTTCCCTTACGGTTATACCTTTGCGTTCTCGAGTGTTTATTGAATCTGTAACCGATACTGCAAAATATATGGAAACCGTTTTGTTCTGTGTGTCAATTAATTAGGCTACAGTAACGTTTTTCTCACTAATTTATGAAATCGTAGGACAGGAAGTCTACGATAAATCTATTTTTGAACATCGTGTTGCTATAATAACATACTATATGTAGAACATTTTGTAATCCAGAATTTGTTTTGGTTTATAAGATTGAACGTAAATTAACAATAGACTCTCTGATAGATTACTGGCCTTTCTCTCATGACGTCCCCAGGGGCCAAGGACTTGTCACTCAATCACCAGGGTTCGCTGTGTACGGATGTCCATGAAATATGTATATATTGATTTCAGGCTCACTCAATGGCGGAACCAGGGGAGGGCCCTGAGTGAATAGCAAGATAGACACTTCGCACGACCTATTTCGGCATATTATGTACATAAATAGGCTGTGCTTCCCTCGATCAGGTTTCCCGCTGTGCGGTTCATTTTGTGTGCCCTGTCTAGCATTCTCGTTTAAACTAAAAAATTATGCTATCTTTGCGTCAGTACCAAGAAATACGTTTTCAAAAACGCGCGAAAAGTGTCATCGTTTCGGACAATTAACAGCTGAGTAAAATTAGACTACTACATGTCTGACATGCAAAACTTGGACAGATACAGCCACTACCAGCCGGGGTTAAGCCGAGGTAAAGGTTGATATAGGCGGTCGCTTGCGATCACTTTGCAAGCCAGTGTTCTATGGTACTCATAACAGTAAATATACTTTTGATTACTTCCGTGACTGTCAAAGTTACATGTATGTAAATGTTGGGTTTATAGCCTGAAATATAAATATATATAAATCTAAATATACATAAAAATATATTTGGCTTACAGAGAAACGAGTTCAGTCAGTTTCAGAATTTATGCCTGGTCTTTTTAGACCTGTGCCATCCTGAAACCGTTTGGCCTCCGTGGGGAAAGCTAACGAGTGGCAACTATAAAGAGGCATGTCCACAGAAAAAGTAATGCAGGTGGCAAGGCCCTGCTTACATTTTCATGTCTTTAAAATTTTCCCTCCCTCCCAACCCCTTCTCCCTAAGTATGTTGATAGAAAATGCCAACTTTGTTTCTCCGTGGATGCTCAACATTTATCTCTGAAAGTCAAAATGCGATTCTACGTGTCTGTTGTACTGTACACTCGAGTGTATTATTTATTCATACCCAAACTACAAAAATAAAGTATGGCTCGGTATACTACATAGTCACGTAGACGTCACGAGAACAATTCATGGCTGATAAAAAAAGATAACTGAAGTGTGCTGGAGAAAGTTACAGCTGTTACAGACCGAACCACGTGTATTTTAACGTGCGTCTGGAGTAATATGGTTAATACTACCACATATGATATATAAATATATATATATAAATCTAAATTTACATAAATATATATTTGACTTACAAAACTGTAACAAATGACAATAGTAAAACTACTGCAGACATAATATCTGCTAATAGGAAGTTGAATGTTTCAGATAGTCCATATGTATACACTGTATATATATATATATATATGCTTGAAGTTTGGTAACATGCGTACTTCTGCGGTACTTAAGATAATATTTTCCAAGTCAAACATTTTTTAGAGTTCCAAAACTTTACATTATATATTTCTAATCGTAACATATGTTTATCTTAATCGGTATTGTTATCATTCAAACGGCTCTCATTTTTGTTCGGGATTGAACCCTCAGCTAACCGCAAGTTTTCTCAACGTACCAAATAACGTGATTTATTATTCTCTTGCGGAATTCCCGACAACTCTATTCGGATCAGATCCACCTTCTCTCGGTTCTGGCATCACCTGTCTAGATTTGATTCCAATGAGAAGAAAGAACTCCCGTCTGAACCCTTTGCCAGTGAGACAATAAAGAAAAAAATTGATTGAGTGGTTAGTGTACACAAGAGAGTCCGTAATGGCTTGTAGTAGTTCTTCCAGAGCTCTGTCATGCGGCGTTACCACCCAATATGGGCTGAGCAACAGAACGGTGATACTTGGAGTCACCAGCACCACAAATGCTAGCGATAGCGCTAACAGCATGTATGTGCTGGACCGGAAATTGGCAGTCTCTGTCACTGCTTGGGATGATGAGGAGCCGAACAGGTTCTGTCTCTGGTGCTGTGCTTTGTGGAGACCAAATGCAATGAGGGAGTTGAGTATGATGATTGAAAGTATTGGAATGAAAGCGTACAGAATGAACCCAATCCAAGACCGTATCACAGTTTCGAAGAACGCGAACTCTTTCCTTGCTACCCCGCAAACAGCCCCCGTGGCGTCGTATTGAAAACCCCGAGTCCACAGAAGGTGTGAATTCTTAACAAGTAACGCAACAAAAGTTATAACTACGCAAGAGATTAACGCACGCCTTTTTGTGCACCACAATTTTGCCTTGAATGGGAAAGTAACGCTGAGGAACCGGTCCACAGTCACAGCCACTATAACCCATACCGCACAGTCGCCGGCGCTGTACAGAAAATAAACATGTAACTTGCACGTCCACGGGTGGAGCGCAGTTACGTCAACTGTGGTTAAAGCGCGAATCCACACGGGAAACACACCTAGCACGAGCGTACTCGTGTCCGCAATTGCTAGATAACGAAGGTAAATACTTGCTGAGGACGGGCGTAAGGATTTCCCTCTCATCACCAGCAGTGAGAGCACATTCCCAGTAATTCCTATTACTAGGAGCATGGGTGGCACGCATTTCCATATAATCTGGGCACTGAGATGTTCCGGGTAGACGGTAGCATTCTGAGCATGGGTTGCATTCATTGTCTTTGTAATATTGTCAACCATGGTGGACATTTTCCGTCAAGCTTAATTTCTGCACAGTGGTGATTCTGAATCTTTGTGCTAGCATCACTCTCTAATAATGTCCTCTGAATGTTGCGTGATAGACAACCTGGAGTATAAGTATATTTACATGTTTACATGAGCTGCTGTGCTTGGAGACACAGAGAATGATGCCCTTAAATGTCAGTTCCATTTAGTATCCCACGTATCATTTTACAAAACTCTCCTGGATATCCGCGGGCTCATTTATTCTTCTTCCTAGCCACTGCCATCCCCCAGGCGTTTACCTGTCATTAGTCCGTTAAAACGACATAAATTGTTTCTCTCACTGTCACTGCTTCAAATACCATCAGCAATCCGTTTTCCCCAGGAAATATATATATCCTTGCCAATGACAGTTCGTGGCGATGCATGTATATTTCTTAGTCACTGATTATCACGGTGTCAGATTGGCGCGTTCTGTGCTGAACTGCCTTCTGTGTTCTTCTAAAAACGCTCATTTGTGTCTTGTCTACTTATACTGTTCCAGTCACGTGTGTGTGTCTTATAGTAAAGTGTGGTGTCTCTAGTAACGATAACACGCACAGTATCATTGCATGATGATTAGGTCGGTCATGGTTATTCTGTTAATTAAAACCGAGTAAGTTTGCAGATGTCTTACCTCTCAGGAACAGTTGAGTCTGCAGCCTGTGGTTCCAGGACTAGTTACGTTCAATGTGTGTTTTATCAGCTAGTAAGTGTATTTGTACATGTATTTACCATACGCCTTACTGAATAAACTTTGTAATCATCCCACTTACAAGATGATACAAATATTTTTGTCGTTGGTTCGAGCAAAACATGTTAATATTTCAGGGTTACTAAAGATTTATTCATGAATTGGTTCACAAAAGAATGCTTACGCTTAGAAAGGTACTTCTAGAAATCAATACGATACACATCCGCATCAGGCATTCAACTGATTTTCGATTTACCGTCTTGAAACTGTCCCTTATCTCTAGATCATCATTCTCCCAATTAGCTTGAAACCGAATCTGGAGTTAAACAAATACAGATTTGACGTATCTGGGATCGTTTAGCAACTCGACACTTTAGCTTTGTCCTATTAATGATTGCTACCTGATCCATGTACATGAACGGAAACCCACTTCGTCGAATAGAATAATGGGATTTGTTGACAAAACATGAAGTATGTTTTTTATTTTTATTTGTTCGAAACACCTGGCAATAGTGCAGATCATCTGCCGCTAAAAAGCAATGTTGGGGACAGAAACGAACATTGAAGATTTCTATTCGAAGTCTTCACCATATTGGCTGAAGACGTCTCAAATGATAGGGCGGTCATGAAGACCTTGCCAAAATTCTTAATTTCAGTTTTGTTTTCGGTCTCCTTGATCTCATTATGTGTGATCCAAAAGATATCGGCATATTTTACAACGCATATCTACCGGATAGGGTCATTTACAAACCTGAATTAGTTTAACTGAATATCGTTACACTACATCAATACGCATTGTAGGGCCAAATAGGCAAAAGGGCAAAATACATATAACAGGTATCTGTAAGCATGGTTTTGCTCTTTTAGGAGTCAATCCACATTAAAATATACTCAAATTAACAATTATGCCAAGATTCGTGGTTTGGGCGCGTATTTTTGATACATGCTAAACCTTAATATATGGGTAATCTGCAAAGAACCAGTTGGATCATTTTTGACACCAACAGATTTTTTCTTCTTTCAAGAAACCGCATAAGAAACACGCGTACGCAAAGCAGATAAGTATCCTTAAAACCGATGACAATTGTGGAAAATGTGGCGTGTTGATTTCAGAAAGAAGGTCACTTTGATAGAAATTACAGAAGCGATATGCTACTCAAACTTGCAAGGTGGAGAAATTCAATTTAACACTTCTCCAAATATCTATACAAATACAGAGTTCGTCTTGGCCGCCTCCTCACTGAGGTCAAGTGGATTTTCAAGCTGTTTTCTTCACGTCCACTCACAGAACTGCCTATACAGGTACTTTTCCCACAAAACTATTTTCTTGGTGGAAACGGTTTGATGTAATTAAATAATCGAATCTCACCATGCATATAATTCTTTTAAATTACGTTTTTCAAATATCATTTCCTTATCTCGCCATGGGTAATTTCAAATTTTTTATTCTTATTTACAATTTAATGAGCTTACATGTTTCATGCAAGACATACGGAATTTGAATACTGTTAATCAATTACAAAATTCAGCTACATGTACCTCGTTCAGATACTAAAGACACCATATACCCCTTTACTATGTCTGTGACACAATTTGACGAACGACACTCGATGTTAACGCCAACAATTTACATTGCAATATTCCCACACTACTACAGTGCAATGGTGATTTGTTTTCCTTTATTCCTTCGAGTGAGTTTTAATTGTATACCTTATCATTTTGGTTTTGAATCGTGGCTATAACAGTTTATATCAAAGAAGTAGAAGTATCTACTTCAATGTTTATATGTAAGGTAGACTTTTCCATGTTCACCGTAATTGTCAGTTAGCAAACTTTGATGCCGTTCTTATCTTCTTCAGTTTGCTGCAGTGGTGAGAATCCTTTACCTAAAACCAAACAGAACCAAGTTATACGATGGTATATATACAAACCAGAATTATAAGATGTTAAGTAATTTTAAACGATATCGTGATTAAACGATTGTTTTTACTAGAGGCAAAACACTACTTCAATTGGTAAAAGACGCCTTGACCGCATTTTACTTGCTTTGTATGGAATATTAAAAACGGTTTTCAAGCGCCAGCATAGACTCATAAAATCGGTCGCCCACTAAAGCCACAACTAAAAAAGAAAATCGGGAGCTGTTTTACAACTGTGTGGGACACATTTCTTTTTGTTTTCAGTTTCAACGTAAGTTTTATCATAGAAATAAATATGGTTTTATGTACCTCAGACAAAGATTGTGGTATTGACGCCGATGCCACCCAACACAATAGCAGCACGTTTAGTATTAAGGTGTTATTTCACATTGATTTATCTGGCCTCAGTTTCACAAAAAAAGCTCAAATCGGTTCTCTGGCTTAGTTGACTAGGCTTTCTATGAGAGAGCTGTTACACTGCTCCTGATAGGGCAAGATATGAACATGTGACCATGTAACTTTGGTAATTAAGTTCTTAGCCAGGGAACCTGACTTAAGCTTTTTTTTTTTGTGAAACTGGGGCCTGGTCAGGTATGTGTTCAACAGAAACACGGTATTCGATGGACTGGGAGGAAATAGAAAGTTTTCTTTAATACCGAACATGGGTTTACGAAATCTTTTTCTTTATTTCCTATCATCACTTATTGTACTCTTACGTCATTCCACACGGGTATCCATTTATCCTGAAGTAATTTTCGACTAATAGTAGGCTGCTGGAATCTTTACATAACTCTTTTAGAATATATGATCGTGTCTCCACACCTTATATAATACCCTCAAGTTTCCGATGGCAACTCTCCATAGTCAGGTATATCAGGGTTCAACGTAAAAAAAATAAACGTGTAGCTAAAGCCCATGATAAAAGCGTTTCTCATCAAACTGCAACCAGAGATAAAGTGCTTCTCATTTTTTTTAAGCACAAATCATTTATGTATTTACTTAACTGTTCAATTATGTATCTTTTTGGATACCAATTCTGTACATCAGATTTGATCATATTAGGCCTATTGTTTTAAAAGCCCATAAAAATGAAAAGCTAACTTCATCCATCTAGAAAAAAAAAACACACATTCCTGCTGCAACACACTGGTTTATAACCAGTGCCTTTGAAAACAATTGCCTATTCATCTAAATGACAGCTTCATATATCAAAACTATTCTTCAAAGGGTCGGTTAAGAGTTTTTTGGACGCACTGAGTAAAGAAGCCGGTGTTAAAATCTGCTTTACCTTGAATTCATATTTCGCGTATGAGTGCAGCCCTTGAACTGTATAGCTGTTTCCTTGAACTCCACTAACCACATGGAAGGCGGTCTCGGTGACGCGTCTGTAATATATGGTATATGTTCCCGTGGTTAACCCAGATGGCGCTCCCCAGCGTAGCTTCACTGCGTCTTTACCCTTAACTTCAAGCCTGAGTAGAAGCCTGCGTCTCATGGTCGCCAGGACACAAACCCCGGTGGTCTTGTAACCCATGCTGTCTCAGCTATCGGGAGGAGGGGGAGGAGGAGAGAGGTTGAGGTGGTGAAATGCTTTGGAAACACTTAACAATGGTTAGGAGAAATGCAAAACGTATGGGGTGACGGCAGGAAAGTCACGATATGATGCGGATATCAAATACATATAAAAAAGAGACACAGCACTTTTAGTACCTTGTCCTGTCACGATCCTCATCCAGGGTTCAACTGATGTCTTGTGTCACCAAATCTTCTGCATCAGTTTGTAAGCAAATGATATGTGTTTGTGGCAGATTAAATACCCGCGTGCTGCATTGTGCATTATATACATGAAGGGTAATTACTTTATTCTGCGTGTTATCAACAGAGGAAATGATTATTATATTTGTTGCTCTATATGTGGGATAATTTGTTGAGACTCCGAGTCGTTTTATTAAAACTGGTGGTGTCAGCACCGCACTACCGAGTAGAATATTATTTTCCTATATTTTAACATTTTTAGATCTCTATTTCATTTATCATTTTCATTTATCTTTCTAACGTTTATCGATTCTTGATGATGTTGATTTCACTGTTTCTACAAGCACCAAGCTACATGTATATGGAATTTGCAAATTATGATTGCATTAGCAGGGAAAATATACGTATTCTGTAGGAGCACAAACACAACAGCCCCACGTTTTTTTAAACAACAAATACAACCCCTTCATAAAAAAGAAGAAAAAACAACCACAGAGGTATTTTTCATATATATATTTTAAATCAATAAAGAGAATTTCTGGCGAATCATGAATCGGGTCCGATTCCCCCCTCTCAGCGCTCCCCCTGCCTTCTAAGCACAACAAGCGTCTACTGCTCTTAGTAAATTGAGGGTCGAACCCTCGTTTTCAAAACTCTGACAAACCTCCTTACAGAGATAACTGCATGACGGGCGAGAGGGGGCGGGATATATCACTAAATCTGATTATCTTTTAAACAAGAGAACAGTCACTGCTGGTTCCTTAAACATGACGTAGCATTGAATACAACATAAGCGGGAGATAAAAAAGTGACAGAAGATGGCGAACGAAAGATGTTTTTTTCTGGTGTAATTAAGCAGTGAATTCAACGTAAATCGATAATAACAATTCTGGTTTAATTGGCTGTGACATTCAGGCGTTAATAAATGCAACTGCAGAAAGCGGACTTCCGTTTATTTTTTTATGTATCTATTTTTTTTTATTTTGCACCACAGTAAGCGTGAAACAGCGTTTAAAGCAAACTTGACACTAATGGATGAGAAATAGTCCCCTTCTAGTAATTCAATTTACCTAAAAGATCCACTGTAAATGTCACGCATGAGTCACTGATATAAAATGACACACAACATTATGGCGCGAACAGGTTTTACTAAATGGATGGCACATCTCAATTTGTTTTTCCACTCACTTTAGCCGAATCAAAATGAATATCTTGCAATCCTCTTCACGGGACTTTTAACATTTATCTCATTATTTTAGTTTTTTGCATCTCTTTGGCAAAAGACATATGAGTCCTCGTACATATTTCATTATGTTAACTGAATGCTCTATCTGTCCAGCACTAAGTAGTACCAGGTAAACACATGTATACAACGTACCATATGTAGTTGCGTTAACAGGGTTGTAAAAACATGACAAACACAAAACCAATGAATATAATATCTAAAATGTGGAAACGAGCTGCAATTGTTCTTCTAAACAACAATTCCACTGAGTAATTGCATGAAGGATTGCAAAAAGTTAAATTCTCAATGTGCTCAGACTTTCATGTAGGCCTATGGTTAAACATGTTGTTAAACAACATGATTATTAAAAGCAATGGATATCGATACAAAAAAAAAGTGTAAATACGGAAGGCCGAACACCACATATACGAGTATATGCATTTTTCTGAGGTTGCAAAATTCGGCAAGAGATGACACCAGTATCAGGACGACTTTGAATCTATCTCACGACGACTCCGGCTGATCTCTTGAGCGATGACGTCATGGCACATTAGGTCCAGTACCTGTGCAGTTCATCAAACCGGCTCCAGCACTGGACGAGTCCAGTATCGGTTGAAATTGAGCCAGAACAATGAAATACGTCAGCACCATGCCCAGTACCTGTAGAAGAAAATTTATGTTACTCAAGAGTAATTCCCCCGATGAGAATAAGAATCCCCAGGTTGATTTGATTTAATAACGAGGAAAATGCTTCTGAAGCTAATGCCTCTGAGGTGCCGCCCGGGGACGCGCCGAGCTTTCACATAAAGGTGACTTGTGTAGCACTATAAACTGTCGTTACCATATGTGTTCTACCCATGTGTGCAGTAAAAGACAGGACATTAGTTACAGAAAAATCACTTTTAGAAACCGACTGTCACCTATAAGCATTACTTAAAAAATTCAACAAAGCGTTGTACATACAAAACTGTTTGCAACATTTATTTATTTAAAATTTGATAACTTACTGTTGATAACAATAGATACACGTGCATAAAACTGGCATATACAGTTCACTGTAAGTTAAGAAAAATGAAGCTCACCGTCAAAATTGTAGGCCGGTCGATAACGAACATATTGAATGCACTAAAGCCTATCGGATCTCCGGACAGTTTATTCAGGAACATCTGCATCTGGATTAAAAGCAAGAAAAGAATATGTCCAAATGTGATACAAATACAGGGTTAGAAATAAGATATATAGATCGAATGTCATTTTGCACTACAGAAAAAAAAACAGTGCAACAACAAAATTTATCTTACGTAAGGTGTTGTTAACCCTGCTCTGTAGAAATCCGCATTAAACCTGTAACTACATGTAAGCCATAGCCGCTGAAAATAGTCACCTGTTATGTTTGAATAATCTATATCCGACAAAAGGGAAACGATAGTCGCCGTAAATTAATGTTTAACTTCAAACATTCAAAAACTATATAATAACACAATTATCCATTTGGAAATAAACGACTTGAGCCTGGCATAATAATATCGATTTCACTATGCGTACCTGCAGTAATGTGTTTTCATTCGCTTTATTACTCAAGTCTAGATCATGTATTTCCCCAAGCGAAGCATGAGCCTGAAATTAAAACCCCAACACGTATTATAATCTCCATGTTTATTAAAAAATGGTGATACTGATTAATAAATGTACAGTCAGCGTACCTCAGTTTTATGGTTACGTCGTAGTACAGACCCGTGTACACCGATAAACTGCACCGGCAATTAAGTCCCACATATGACACCAACAGGTGTCGCAATATGCCAAAAAATATTAAAACAAGACCACAATTATATAAAATGATTATCGAAAAACAATTAAGGAATAATCTTTCCCAAACTAGACTTGTATTTAAGGCCAACAAGTATAGATTTCAGCTTGAACACCATTTAGTATTCCATTTGAATTTGAAATAAACTGGCAACATTGCCTCCCAGTTATTGCGGTAATGAGATATGAGCACAACTCCGGCTCAGATTCCGACCCAGGTGATGGCCCTCTGTACTTACACTGCTGTGTCTTTGCATGACAAAATGTATAGAATTAGTTAATGGAAAGTAAACCTCTTGTTAACAACGGTCTTCGAAGTACTCTATACGGACAGTAAGTTATAGGCTTTTAGTGGTATTTCTAAACCTCACACAGATAAACGAATATCGCCGTCAGGCGGAAAGGAAATCAATATCGTCTGTGATATGAAAATTCACTAAGATGCCTGCAAAAATTATTGTAAATCACTCATTGTAAAATTTGATGGAATTTAACTTAAACAAAGGTACCCCGAAGCCACATTCTGTCCACAAGGTACGCTAGAAGTCTGTTACAAAATAACTGAAATGCACCCTGTGGGGTTTCCCGTAATCAGCGGGAGCGCATCCGATATAATTCCCTGGTAAGACACACCCTTTGTATTTCAGGTACGGAGTAGCACATATCCATGTGCACGTTACAAAATACTACAAGTCAAGCATGGCCTAAGACTTACTCCAGATGCCCAGCTGAATGATAACACCCACAATTACCCTCCTCTGCTATTGAGCCACCGATTGAGGGACGAGTAGGGGCGTGGAAGTTATATAAGACCAGACGAGCAGATTGGGACTATACATGTACTTTCATTTTGTATACTACATGTATTTTAGAGGGCACTTCGAGCCCTTGGCTTATTGTATCTTTATGAAAGTCATTGAGGATTTAAGGATAACTAGGTTCGATAACTCTGTTATAAAAGTTCGTAATAAATAGCCAGTCAAGTTAAATGTAAAACCGTTAATTTACCTGGTAGTTTACAGAGCCTCCTCCAACCGCTATAATTCCCAGTACACCAAAGGCAACCGCCAGCCAGCCTAAGTTGGCGATCAGGAGAAATGCATCTTCCTCCTTTGATAGGTAGTATATGAAGATGTACAGTATGAGGCAACACAAAGCTATGTTTACTATCATCCACGCCGAGGTAAGAGGCGAAAAAATACCGTCTGCAGTGTCCATGAGTCGGCAGACTTGCTGGTGCCTTTTTCTGTACCATTCTTAGTCACAAGGACTGGAGCCCATAGTGCCATTAAAGTTTTTTATCGCCATCTTAAGATTTTTGTTGAACTCAAGAAAAGCTTTATACATGACTTCAGCAATCGCAAAAAACGCCACGACCGGCAGAATCCAACAGCTTAACATGATAAATTCAAAAGCAATCGAAAATGACTTAATTATGTTCATTTCTATTGTTCGATTGTTATTTACGAATAAAAGATGAAATGGAGCGATCTGAATTTCTAAACTATTCACAGAGCCATAAATACTATCATACATCTTGTACGCAAAATTAACCAAGACTATTACCCAGCTCACAGCAGTGTAAACTAAAACTCGCCATTTAAAATGGCGAGGGCAAAATACACAAGGCATGCTGTGATGTAAAACTTCCCATTCTGCAAAAAAGTTCTGCAAGCGGTTCTTACGGCATGCCAAATACAAAACCAATGCGTTCACACACAAGTTGCTGTACCACGTCAAGTAAACGACTTTTACAAATAGGTGGTAGCCCATAGATGGCACGGAAAACATGGTGAACTGTAGAAGGCAGTTTGTCCATATTGCAACTAGTACTGCAGTGCTGTACACTCTCAGAGCTTTTATTTTGCCATGTGATCGTTCTACTTCGACTGCGGCGTTGGTGCTTACTCCGCCCCATGAAAAATTGGACACGCTATTCACCGCTTGATTCTCGTGGTAGAGTCCCATTAATTTCAGAGATATGATAAGCGGGCGAAAAGTTTTTTGAAGTGGGTTTTTCAAAGCCTGGTGCACGTTTACAGGAACGTTTCGTCCCGTCTCTGAGGATCCGCTTTTGTCTTGTTGCAGCTGAGGTTCCATTCTAATACCAACTTTGTTGATCTCTAGCATTGATATTTTCCTTCTCTGTCGACACTTATCATGCATGCGAATGCAATCCAATCCGTTTTGTTCATTGTTGGCATTCAATACATCACGTGATGTAATCGTACTCATTTCAGTATGTTAAGGTTGGTTCTCTCTCTTTGTTGTTGTGTCCTTATAGGTCACAATTATTCCATTCATCTGTTGTATTAAGGGGAGAGAACAATGTTTGGTCAGTATGCAATTATACTAAGTCGTATGTTGGCTCGATCTTGGAGAACGTTTGTGCTTTGATGCACCCGTTTCACATGGACTCGTCCTAGGGCGAACAAAAAAAAACAAA